ACTGTATTTATATAATTCCATATAATTAATTTGTGTATCAATCACGTTTCAGCAATTTGGAGAAATTGTGAATCAAATAGTAGACGATGCAACGCCTTCAATTGTAATCAATTTCAAATCAAGAAAAGAAGCGGAGGTGGCTTTTGCAAAGGGACGCACATTTCAGGATAGATTATTGTCTATAACATGGGTTTCCGGGCATCATTTACACCGCGGCGGTGGTGGTAGTAATACGAACGCAACTGTACAACTTTCTTCGCGTTCCGAACAAGCACCACCTACCACCGATGAAGAAATTGATTTAGAAGTGAGTTCCTGAAACATGATACCTATAATTACCGTTAAATTAAAGAAGCAAAAGAACGATCCGTTACTTTTGTACACGATGAATTTTATTTGTCACAGGCCAACGCAAAAGCACTACTACTCGAAGAGAACGAAGAAGAAGAGGATGAAGATGGTGAATCGCGTAGCTGGCGGCGATAGCAGCGTCAGCGTTACTCGTGACAAAAAACTTGGTACCAGCTACAATGACTGTGTGATGATCTGGGCAAATCAATATATGCTCAGCACCTGCGCCACTGCTGCACCGTTATTTGATGCATCAAATGCCATGATTTTCACGAAAGAGTCAGGTTACGAGCTCATACACGTTATCATGAGTGTTACACTATTTGTTAATATTATTAAATATATGCGTGTACGCGTTATAACGGTATAAAAAGTATATACCGTGCCGAGTTGCGCGTTGCAAAATAGAAAACTGATATGCAAGTTTCCAACAACAACAACAACAACAACAACAAGAAAAAAAAACTAACCAAATTTATCCCATTATTTGTAGAATAAAATCGCTATGTTTTGTATGGGAAACATCTTATTCTGAATTCAAAGTCCTTTTTCTTTCGTGTGTAAAACTGTGAAATGTCTCTTGTTATTACTTTCGAGATATATCTATAACAGTAGACAGACTTTTAGAATAAGTAGATACTTATAATTTTCAGAAATTTTACAATCGAAAGTGAGGAAACTATATTTATAACTTGTAAGATACAAATACAATTTATTATATAATTACCACATAAGATATAGCGTATAACGCTTCGAAGTAGTGTAATTTGATTTTTCTTTTTTACTTTCACTTAATGTACTATTTAAAGATTGTTCCTGTAATGATGTACAGTGTAATGTATAATTGTCATGATTTCCTTTTATCAAATGTCAATGAAACTGAGTTGATTAGAATCGAAAAAAAGCTTATTCATGCATAATTTTACACTAGTTGTTTCAATATATACTGAAAACAATATAATATATAATTGTTACATATAAATTCTTAAGATTCATTTTCAAGGTAAGTATTAAATTCCGCAATAAAAATGAAGCACGTATACATTCTACGCGAATTTTAAAGAAAACATAAAATCACAGACTATGTTTCAACGCCTTCGCTGGCATTTCGTTATACATATGAATAAACTTATTTGATACATTTTGAAAATAATTTTGAGTAAACTCCTACCCAGTATTATTTTAAGTATTCCATTTATTGAAGATTAAGAAGATACAGATTTTTAGAGTATCGAGATAAACAGAATGCGTTTATTTAAAAAGACTATAATATATTTTTAGAAGAATCAGTTTTTCATCGTATATTTTGATATTAATTCGATTACTAAAGTCATTAGAACATCCTGTAATTTTTCTGATCGGAGCAATGTTTCTTCTTTCTATGGTCTGTCAGTACATACTAAAATACTTCATGGTGCTTCGAGATTAAAATTGCTATAACAAACAACATATGCATTTAGTCTCATTTTTTAAACAAAAATAGTCGTAATAATACGTTGAATGAAAAACGGCAATACACAATTAAACATACGTGCGATTTTAGATGGAAAATAATTAGGATAAAATACACACAAATTTATTGAAATTGCCTGCCTAACATTGACATTATGGAGATAACCAGCTAGCTAATAAACTGCCTAACAATAACTGTGCAACTGGTAGTATGGACAATGGTAAATTCACTGCTGGACCATGAGCTGAACCATGGTAAGCACCGCGCAAAACCCAGCTGCCAAGACCAACCGACTTGTGGGTACTTGTAAAAAGTGCAGCTAGTAAGATATTCCGTGGTAACCATCGAGAGCACAAAATCCAACACAAGCAGCTAACAAAGATTTGTCCCACGCAAGCTTGAACATAAAGAATACTGATACTATAACTGGCTGATATAAACCATGCATATAGTAAGACACTTAAGTTGCCGAGACATATTTAACTCAACAATATTTTGACACGTTTAAATGAAACAAATACATGCCACCAAAATTGCACAAGAATATTCTTTGCAACGATTGACATTAAACATTTTCTGAATATGTTATCATACATGTTCATATAATAAATATTAATAAACTTACCGATTACTACGCATAATATCACATCACTAGCTTGTAAAGACGACGCATCCACTGAAACAGCGTCGCAAAACCAGTGGTATGCTGTGGCTAATAGTAATGCTTGGGAGAACCATGGCGATTTAATTTTGAAACAAAAACCATATTTTAAAATGAAAAATTGAATAGCAATACCAATAACTAACGGTACAATCGTGCTATAAATGGTTTCTTTGACGTTAACGCCAACCAAAGGAGGCGTGGATGCGCCTAACTGTAACAGAAATAATGTATTTTCTGGTGGAAAAATGTTTATAAAATAACAATCATACATATACACGCTCGATTTACCACAAAATATAGTAGTACAGGTGATATAAATAATCCTGCAAAATGAGAAACCAAAGTTATTACGATACTTGTTGACAAATCTGCCTGTGCCAATCTACATAGAACAAGATTTGTATTCAATGGGGGTGGCATACAGTAAAGCACCTAAAAGGAAAGAATTATGATAATAGATACCCCTACAATTAATTATATTTAATTCATAATTCAACTAGATGTATCTTTATTTTTATTTATTTACTTCCATTCCCTTTAACAACCATATATTAATGTCTGCATAAGTCAACAAACATACTCCAAGTTTCATCAAAGAAGGCATTAAGATGTACATAAAGATCATTGTAAATATTAAAAGGGAGTAATTGCTCAATGTTAAATACAGAGATTTAAGATCACACAATAACCCTGCTTCTAGGTATGTTAAAGGCACAGCAAAATATCGAATGATAATATTTCCATTAAAAACACCTATAATACACAATATAAGAATAGTATGATAATCTTCATAATTCTGAATATAATTATATTAGTATAAGTACCATTTGTTTTACCCAAGTGTGGTCTAACTGATGCAAGTATCATACACAAAAGCATTGATAAAAAGTATCCATATCGATATAAAAGTTCACTTTGCCTTTTTCTTTGCTGACCTTCTTGTGTATATTTTGGATACATTATCAAGGTGTGTCTGTAATAATTTAGATATTTTAACAAATACAAATTATAGAAATATAATCTTACCATGGTAATTGAATATAAATAATAAGATAATAATAAAACACAATGTATACTAATGGTTTCCAATACTTTTCAATAAATGAGCCCTTGAAAGGAAATAAAATTCCCATGCCTATGATAAATGAGAGATTTAAATCTCCAGCTTGGAAAACATTAGTACGTACAATGAAGAAATATTAATAACAGTAAATAAGATTCAAACCATTTTTGTAAAAATTAGAGAATGTCGGCCTACGAGCAAGTTCAGCCAATGCAGCATTTTTTCTGGTTCTTCTTTAGAAACGTTTCATGCAGTCTCCTTTAAAAGATTTTGTGCGTGCACGCTTGGACAATACGTCTAATCCTATTTCAACATGCTTGAAATGTTGTAATTGAACGAAGCAAGCATATTTTATTGATAATATAATGATATCTATTAAACATTGTACCTAGAATCATTCTCTCACAAACTAATCTATAGTATTTTATTCACTACAAATCTTTTGTGAAAGTATTTTACCTAATAATCTTAGTATAAGATCAAGTAGAAACTAAAGGTTGGATGCACCTAAGTCAAAGCATTATTCGTAAAATTCTGAATGCAACAAGATATAAAACAATATGTGCCATATATAACGTAATTGTTTGGTATTCTCGTCGTTAATTGCAAACAAACGAAACTGAGATTGACAGCAGATTCTTTTCTGTGGTTTTATGCAATTGCAAGAAATCGTACAAAATAACAGTGCTTCGTGGTTATTAAATTTTATTTTAAATATTAAAATATAATTTATTTGTTATATGCATGTATTTACTCGTTTTCGTACACTGGAAGACGGTTAATAAACGAATAGAAGAACAATCTCGATTATTACGACCAACAAATACAAGAGAAATTCGTTAGTATTTTTTTGGAGATACTTCTAAAAATATAAAAAACAAACGATTGTGTAGACAGTCGTTATTGTTCTACAAACGTTATTGCATTTAATGTCCAACTGGCCGGTATTTATAAGCAATGCGTCTTTCTTCACTATATCGTATGCCTTATCAATACATGTACGCGTGTATGTATATGTACTTATATACAGTAAAATCCACGACTTGTACGGTGTTCAGTTACGCGATTATTATTTTCAAACTAATATCATATATAAAACGCACTACAGTCTACAGGAAAAAAGACCTATATACACCATTTTATTAAATATTCCTAACCCGAAAACTGATATTTCTTTTTTCCTGTTATATTAATTTCTTTTCTTGCTTACAGGGGAATTAAATTCAATAATTAGGTTTATAAAACACATGTTCGATTAAGCATTAAATATTTATTGTTACACGTTCTTTATTTCGTATGTATGTACAATTAAAAATAAAAAATGTACATACATTCCTTGTTTTGTTTTCTTGGATAAAATTGAGAACAGCCAAATTGGAATGCTGAAAATACATACATAAATAGATACGTTTCAGTTTTATTTTGTAATCATTTTTTTAAGGAATAAGAAAATGAATAACTAAGGAAAGTCAGTTCGTTAATTATCATTTATTATAATAATATTAATAATATATAATAATAATATTAATAATAATAATAATAATAATAATAAGATTAATGAAACAACAGTTCACAGTGTATATAAATGTGGTGCAACACCACATATTTTAATGCCACAAATCGGGGTCTACCCTTTCTGGCACACACTTAGAAGCTTAAACCGCTTTTTTTTTTTATGGATTATTCACATTTTTTTTTGTACGCAAGTCCATAACTTTTATACATATCGCGGTCTATGACTAAATACATAACATTGGTTGTTAAACGAGGTTACACATAAGTTACAAGACTGGGGAGAATTAACATTTCGATCGCATTACTTTTAACATCGACAATGCAATGGGAAATTTGTTTTTTAATAGACCTTGTTCAAAAACCAAATTCATATAGTAAATAAAAAAAAAACACAAGTAGTTTGTATCGCAAACTACAACAAATTACATGATATTAGAAAACACTGTCCAGATATTTCTTTCGAATTTTTGTAAACAGTAATGCGAGGCATTACACGTGCTATTTAATATAAATATCGAAATGCGTCGGTAACACAAATATAAAAGATCACATATTAGCATGCTTAGTGACACGAGAATGTTAAATTAAGGTACATACAAAGGCTTTAATTCTTTCTTTTTTTTTATTAGCTAGAAGCCATGATTGTACATAAGGCATCTAACTGATGTCACTTTAAGGAACAAGAATATTCATCGAATGTATTCGTATAATACGGATCGTCAAATTCACTACACCGTAATGAACTACCATACTTTGACATCCCTGATCGTGAAACAAAGTTTGTTACAAGACCAAAATTAAGTAGAAAAATTCATAGGAGATTTGTACAATATAGAAAATATATGTCTTCCTTTTCTTGCGAATTTCATACTAGTAAATAAAATAAGGAACACCTAATCGAAAGTACCGTCTACACTAGAAACGCGGATTATTAAACATCAGTATTCGATATATATAATAAAAACACGAGAGAAAATGGTATAATACGAAATCTAGAGCATGCCAAAGACAATAGGACTAAAAAAATACTATAAAAATAATTTAAACTTAAAACATTTTACGTTCGAAGGGTCACTCTTTAATCGCTTATGATTTTAAGAGTTATTATTCTTTCATATAAAGCATACACAGAGTGAAATTGAAATGATTAGGGCTAGGAAGTATGCTTGGATGAAGCTCTATTGTGTCAGCTATCGGCTTTAATGATTGAAAAATGATTACCTTTCTGTTATCAAAAGTACGTATTTACAAGCAGCCAATGCTAAGTGAGTAATATTAATTTTTCGTTATCACATTAAAAAATATAATCCCTTAAAAGCTATTGAGTTCGTATTATGAAGAAGTATAAAAATTTAAAATAGCAGTCTTCTGTCCGAATATGAAAATTTCCATAAACAAAGAAAGAAAAAATAGTAAACTAAACATTTTGATAAGAAGCCTGAGAGTAACAAACGATGAATAATACAAGTGTAGTAGCAATTAAATGCTAGACAATATAAAATATTGAACTATTAATACATGCAAATATCGATATATAAAAAGTACAACGTATTTGTAACAAATGATTTGTTGTAATCTACTGTTAGCATTCCCAATTATTTACTATAGTAATTCTCGAACAACTGGAAAGGAACAGAAGTATCAAACAATGATTAAAACATTAACTAGCAACTCTTTTTTTAACGTTTATCTTTTTATAATACTGTTAATTTGATTTTTTTAAAAAATTGAAAATATTACAAAACAAATGTATATCGTAATTGTACATAGTGTATACGTAAAAATGTTGCAACAAAAACATTAAAGGCACGTGTTGAAGTATATAGTAAAATTGTTCTTGTTCTTTTTAAAGAGTAAAATTTAAACAATGTTGTATACCCTGAAAGATACCGACGAACAATGACACTAATTAATTATCTTCCAAACCTTAAATATCTATTTTGTTATCTAACATTAAAATAAAACACACACAATATACATAGATTAACAGTATTAAATTACTGTATACTGTAGCCATGTTTAAAATTGAAGTAGCGACGAAACACGAGATGTAAATAATTGAGAAATTACCTGTTTATAGTCTTTTGTTCTGCAATTCATGCTCGTTTTATTATTGTAGTACCTTCATCGCGGCAAAAAAGTTTACCCATGACTATTATGCAATTTCACTCTGTATATCATTCTTATATTCTCATATCATCAAATATTGATCATATTTTCACTTATAAGCTACGGTTGATTCATATCACAATATCAAAGTACTTAAAAGAATCGTTTATTCTTTAAGCACCTTTACCTACCCCCTTCGTTCCTTCTTTTTAGTCCGACAAAAATATAACATAAAACATTCAAAAATTTGTAGTGCTATTACTTCGATTTACTTTTTTACCCACTACCCTCGATGAAGTTCTAGTTGGCGTTGGTCTTAACTTGTAGCCTCCGGCATTCATCGTATTATTAATTGCCGCTACGTTTGGAGCAATGGTTTTTAGACATTTAGCCGCTTCTTGCAATTGTTTGGATAGAATTTCATTTTTTAATTTTTCCGCATTCAGTTCTCGTCGCAATTGAGCTTTCGTTTTATTTCCAAACGGACATAGTACTCTATGTTGAATGAGGCATACCGCTGAAGGTCTCATTTCAGGATTTGGATGAATCATTAGCTGTAATGAAAACAAACAGGATCATAAAATTAGATAATAACAATTTTACTGTGAATTCTTAGAGCAGTATTCTCAGTGCGCACGTTCTTACCTTGAGTAATTCGTTAAGATCTCTGCTGTAGTGTGGCAATTCCTTCAAGTTTCCATTTCTAATATTATGCCACTCGGGTCCGTTTTTAGGTAACGGACCTCCTCCGCCTGCTTCGTAGACGGTTAATCCCAAAGCAAAAATATCAGCTTTTGGTAGATGACTAAAGTCTTCGCGTAAAATTTCTGTTGGTAGATATCTACAATCTCCTTCTTCAACTTGAGGATTATTAACAGACGTAACATGACCTAAATCGCCTATTTTATATGTGATTTCTTCTTCTATTGTTTCTTCTTCGTCGAATCCGTCGTCTGCCGAATCGTAATTAACTGCTAGTAACCTCTTCTCTTTCGAAATAAAGATATTTCCTGGTTTAATGTCCATGTGTACTAATTGCATACTATGAATGTATCTTAATCCTTCTGCGACATGTAATAGAAGTTGTCGCATTTCAGCTTCGGTAAAATGCTTGTTTTCCTTTTGTAAATTAGCGATAGCATCCGCTAGGCTACCACCGTTACAATATTCATTTTGAATAATCATATGATTATCTTCTGCCCAAGCTGAATAATATCGTACGACGTGTTGATGTTTGCCAAGTACGGCATGCGCGTATACTTCGTTCAAGGCATTTTTTTCATTGATACTTCCAGCAACAGGCTTAATACTTTTTTTAATAGCGTAAGTGCATCCGTCCAGTCGATTGATGCACTTATAAACCGAACCAAATTCGCCTGTACCGATTAATCCAAGTTCATGGAATTCTTGATGGTATCTAGGAATATTAGAATCTTGCAATGCCACGCGCTTCGTAGCTTGTTCTATTTCGTTGTCTGAATCATCGGAATCGGGAAGATCGAATTTCGGAATTTGGATATCGGGAGAGCTGATATGGAAGAAAAACAATAGTTAGATAAATGTGTACAACATCAGTTAGATAAATGTGTCTGTACATTTCTTACTCACTCATTGAGACTACGTTTAGATCTAGTACGCTTCCTTGCAGTTAACAACATTCCATTTGGTGTAAAAGGATTTACATTAGCTGCAGGTTTGTCAGATTTATTTTGATAATTACAGGGTCTTGATTTGTCTAATGAAAATAGTCTGGTGCATTTGGATGGAAATGAAGTATGCATCGCGCTCTTCTCCATTAAAGTTTTAGGGGTTGCAGGTGAGTCGAAAAGACGTAAAGCCCTAACACGTTTATAAGGTGGACTACACGCCATTGACATTTTTTGCGCACATACATTCTCACGGGGAGGAATTCTAATCCTTGATGTTCCTGTAATGAAAGTTAAAAAAACCACTTACCTGATTTCAAATATGAACTTTCGAAAGATACAAGATTTTATTCAGTACAAAATGTTCATTAAATGATATATTATTACTTTATAAATAAAAACAGCTTCTTTTTCAAAAAAAATATTAACATTAAAAATTAACATTTTAATAAAATATAGAAATTATAACTGTACACAGTGCAATTACTTTTACTGACTACTTTACAAACATTCTCTCAGAAATTACTCTTGTGCATGATGCAAAAGAATTGTCCAACAAAAATATCAACCTTTTCACATCACACAAAAAATCATTACAAATATTAAAATAATTTCTAATCTACTTCAAAACAGATACCTATAATGCTAGTAAATACTTCTACTTTAGAGTTAAATAATCTACAAAGGAAAGTATTAAGTAATTAATTACATAAAACTAAGTATAAATAACTGCAAATATAACATAGAAAAAAAAGCGTTGAATTGAAATGATCATCACGCAATATAAAATATTTTACATAGCTTCTGTTATCTGTTATAAAAATGTATTTTATTAATTATAGAACAAAAAAACATTCTTATTTTAATAAAACGCCCAATGGTTGCATAGTATTTAAAACATCTAAGAGTTGTAAGAGATTTAAGTTATATTTATTGTCTCTGATTGAAAACAATTTGCGAATAGAAAGACGCGTGACAGAAAACGTAATGAAAATGTTGCAGAAAAACACACACACCACGAAGAGTTTAAAAGTTTAAATTATACTAACCTGTCACGTTGCTGATCGGAGTTTTGTTATTATTAACTGTCACCGTTTGATTACTTTCACTGTCACTACAATCCATTGTATTACTAAACGACAACTTCCTCGGTTGAAGGGATGGCGAACATCCGAAATCATCAGCCGAGGAATCTAAAATATCATCAACATCACAACCGGAGCTGTTCGTACGACAGCTGATATTCAGCTCTTCGTCCTGTATGTCGCATGCGTCGAAATGCAGCTTCTGCGCGACTTCCATGGCTTCAAAGTGTCACCATAGGTTTCCGTGTATTCAACTGTCTCGCGTACACTGCTATCTGCTAAACTGAAATCGGTACCAATTATAAGATCTAGTCAATTAGGTTTGAACACGTTCATTCAAACACTCGCTCGTACCACGCTACGTTCGTTATGGCGGGTGGCCCGATGTTGCTTGGGAAATTACAAACGACCAATCAGAGGCTCTCTTAAAAGTAGACCTCTATTCAATACGATCTAACGCGGCCTCCTATTGGTCACGATTCCTCACAATGGTGGTACATAGTAGCGTCATCTGCACTTACTTTTCGAGGGTGAAACCATTCCGTAGTGAAAATTCTAAAAACTTTTTGTCACGCTTTATTCTTTCAGACTTTCGACCAAAATCAAAGGATTCTTTGAAATAAACGACGACGTTCTCCTCATAACGATAAACGAATAATCGACCAAAACAAATTCTACCTCAACACCGATGACCTCATCATTCATCGTTTAAACATTCCATGTCCTGTAACATATTAAACCATGTGTTATAATGTTAGTAACCAATTAGTTTATATACGATTACGATGTTTAGTTTAATTGGCTTAAACTTATGCCGTTCAGTTGAATCGAGTGGAGATCCGAGAAAAGAATCTGTTAAGCTTTAGGAATACATTCAAGTATTCTCTAGAACTTATCGTACAATTACTTTTAAATTAATTGCACGTCACCTGACCAATTTAAAAAGATATCCGTAAAACATTCACATAGTATTTCGCGCATTCGATGCATTCTCTTATTATTAATTACGAAGGACGAGAAATTCAGACTAAAACGATATACACTCTGATTTCTCGCCATACGTATGTACGACGAAGTATTTTAGATGACAAAAAATAGTATGCTGTGATTATAATGTAACCCACCAAGAAAAAAGCGAGACGAAATTGTCTTCTTTACGCTTCCCGAATGACAGCATCAAAGCTCACGCGAGCCAAGAAAAATCTTTTACGTCTTTACCTTATCCGAACAAAGAGCCCTTTTCGTGAAAGAAGTTTTACGAAGGAGGCAGTGAAAGAATTTTTATCGAGCAGCTGCAACCTGTAGCGTTCGTATGTGCGAACGCCGGGTGTGTTGGTGTCAGCGGTGAACAATGGAGGGGATAACATAGTAGTTCGATGTGCGATATGATGGGAATTTTACTGCCTACTTCGTGTTTCTCCTTCTCTTCCTAATTCCTGGAGCCAGAGGCTTCGATGTTCGATATTACATTTTAAATCATTTTGAAAATTAGCCTCAGAGAGCTCTTTAAATTCGTTAAATTTCTAAAAAATATCACCTTGTAATGGTCGATGACGATCGTAGGCGAGTTAATTTAATTGTCGGTAATCGAGACCGATTTATGATTTACGATGTTTATCGTAAACTACTAATTCAAGGGGTTGACTTATAGCGTCAGCTATGATTCATTCTAAATACACTTTTATTGCATCGCATAATCGATTAATAGTCCCTCCACCCACTTCCTCAATTGCACCTCTTTTATTGTACCTCGTACTTTCTCTTTAATCGTACCTGCACCTAACTTTATATAATATCGTAAAAATAATCCAATCAGCTGATTGAATTCTAATCTTATTAAATCGATAGTAAATAGTTTCCTATTCGATTCGAAACTTTACGTTTATGTTCATCCACGTTGTAGTGTTTCTTTCGAAACCTGCAAGACGCCACACGGTGGGGGTGCTCCACGTCAAAAAGTAAAACAGAGCATAACAGTTTCTTTTTCTTACGCGTTGATCAGTTTCAGAGTTTAAACAAGCGAAAATAAGGACAATGGCCGACGTGCAAATCGAGATCGCAGGTGACATGCAAATACCCCAACAAAAGCAAAAATCTGGCAGCGGGTAATAATAAAATATGGACTTAACCTAACCTACAATCAAATCAAATGTTGATCGTGTCGTTATGTCGATGATCATGTCACGTCCTCTTAATAACTCGTTCAGGACTAATTATTTTTCTTTCCAAGCTTTAATTAAATGGATGACACATATTTTCCTTTCCAAAGAAACAGAAAAAAGCAAGGACATTTTACGTCCTGTTTATGGTCTATAATAATAAAAATAATATACCAATACCATTGACATGTTCTACAATCAATGCATTTTGTCATTTAGGCTTGAATTCCTACAGATACCACAGCTTCCACTTAGTCATATAGGATACCCACAAGCTCATGAATGGATCGAACATAGGAAAGCTAATATCAGGCCATGGTCTTTGTTTCTCAACACAAGTAATATTAGGCCTCCACCGAGTTTTCCAAGACTAAGTAAAAGAATCGTGAGAAACATTGAATATTTTCAAAGCAATTATTTATTCGTCTTCATTGGACTAGTTATATATTGTTTGTAAGGATTGCTTTTATATTTTTTATTTAAACATAAAATACTTTATATTTTTATAAATAATACCAATTGTACATTAGGATTACATCGCCACTTTTGCTGCTCGCTGTTGCAGCAAATCTTGGGACGTGTTACAAAATCTCCCAACGTCACGCTAAACAGGAACTTATGATATTGAACCATAAATTAACATTAGCTCAAGTATACAGTTTGGTTGGAATCTGTTCATTGCCAATATTTTATTTAGTAGGTGCCGGCGCGGCGCTCTTCTGGGTTCTCGGTAAGCGAAACAAATGAAAATTCTATTTAAATATAAAGTAAATCTGCACGTGTAAACTATGTTTTAGGAGTATCCTGGTTTTTAATAACCATGCACGCGGCATTCTATAACATTGATTCCGTATTATGCCCTGGAGAAGATGAACTCAATGCTTTAGTTATGCAAGAGGTATGATTTGTGTGATAGAAATTGTATTACTTAATGTCTAAACAAATTATGAATATTAATGCATAAATTGAAATCTTATACAATGTATAGGGAATGTAAAATATTCTATGATTACATAAATTCTTATATTGAAACATTTGTAAGATATAATTTCTCTAAAGAACTCGTGTATTTTATTATTAGTAAATAGCAACAATAATGTTAAATTATGCACACCATTAGAACCAAGATGTCTTTATACTATCCAATTTGTATGTTAAGACCAAAGAATAATTTTGTACTACTGATATTTTGCAAAAAATAAAATGTTTACGTTTATAATCCGATGTTAAATAAAATATTGGTTTAAATCTAAAATCCTATGTAAACTTGTATTTAATCGCAATCTTATATGTAAATAAATTGTTAATTATACATTTCAGATATTTAACAGGTTTTATGCTTATTTAAATGGTTTTTACGATTTGTACCTCGTATCGATAAATGAACTTTGATTACAGGGTCAATTTGTAGTGACCATGTCATTGTTTAGCGCAATTGCTTTTATTTTGCGGTAACTCTATATATGTTTATGTATGTACATGCTACATATGGACCAATAAATATGGACTATGAACACAATCTATACACAGATGACGTATCCGTAACTTTGCAATTTTCTTTTTCATCTGTACGTAGCGCAAATCTAACACGGTTAGCTTATACCATGTACGCATAAATGCAATAAATTAAATGATTCAACTGACGCACGTAATACTGAAATAAAAGTGAGAAAGTGGATGTGCGATGGAATCGCAATATCGACACGGACGTACGACAATTTCCTCTTTCTTATCTTAACAGCATCCGGGACCAAAGATGTTCAATGGAAGTATACTGAAAATTCGGTGAGGATTACTGTACATTTAAATTAGTATTTTACGAGTAGAAAGTTCGACAAAAGTTTGGTTATGCGTAAGATTGTTTTCGCTTAGATATTTTATTTTACGTAGAAATTACATTTGTTTGTGTTATTATCTCCGTGGAAATGTTTTTTGAAGTATTATTTATCGTCTAAAATTAAACTAGTGACCACAATTTCTGATTATTATTATTATTATTATTATCGGTATCCCTGTCTCCTGCTAATAATAAAACTACAGCTATAGGTTCATTGGTCCATATTTTGTAGTATTCGTTTATTTACGAAATTATAGTAAAGCTGTGTTTTAATATTTTTTTTTATAAATGCACCAATTGTTTTTTGTCTGGCTTGCATGTATATACGCAGTTTGATTCGAATGAGTAGGATTTGAATACTGATTGATTCAATTAAAAATGGAAGAGGATGATGAAGAGGTTTGCACACCATGGATACAGAAGAATAAAAATAATATATCCAAACCCAGCCTTTATCAATCGGTACAAAGTAATTTAAACATTGGATCAGTGGAAACTTTATATCAAAGTGTACGTAATACCTTGTACAACGATGCAGAAAATATGAGTAATTTAAGTAGTATGCAAAATGTAATTTCCATGGAAGACATTCGTCTACCAGATACCGACGACATCTCGACTATTAACAACGGTACCGTTACCACAACGATTGATGGTAGCTGTACAGATTTAAGACATAGTAGAAGAGGCTCAGGAACGGTGAGTTTTGTTATGCGTAATAATAAAATAAAAATTTATTACTTACTAATTGTCTATTTTTACAGGTTTCAAACTCTGAGAGACCGCTTAGTTTATACTTTAACGATGAAACTCGCACAGTTGATTTTATTCTTGTTTGGGACGAGTATGATACAGAAGCTCAGACGCATCGTAACATCGAATACAGACGTGTAAGTAAGTGTATAAGTAAACGCTCTTTCGAAGTCTGATGTTCATTTGTAATTTGCAGGTGTTCGAAAAGAATCTCGAGAAAGAAGGTTTAGAATTGGAACACGAGCAAACGGAACCGAACGGTCTGCACTTTATAAAAATACATGCGCCGCGAGAAGTGTTAAGACGGTACTCCGAAATACTGAAACTTAGGCTGCCCATGAAGGAGTTACCCGGTTTAAAAATTCCCGAGAGTCGTAGCAACGTGCTAATCGACGAAGTTAATTCTTTATTCAAGAGAATCATGACAAAATATTACGTCAATCAAACGATTTTTCCAACGTTGAAACATAATTTCACTGCGGTTTACAGCCGCGATAAAGAATATTTATTCGATTTGGATTCACCTAACTTTTTCACTGCCGCAACGCGTGCAAGAATCGTGCAATTTATCTTAGACAGAACAAGATTTACCGAATCCAAGCACGACGATTTTGCATTTGGAATAGAAAGGCTGATTTCGGACAGAGCATACGCTGCTGCATATCCTCTGCACGATGTGAGTTATATATTTTATAATACTTAAAGCACGGAAATTTCTAACACACCGTAACACTAAGAAAACGCGATTATTTCTTAATTGCTCACGGTATACGTCTGCTCGCCCCTTCCAGACAGACAATTGCCCATTCACCAATTTTTATAGGAGATCCCGTAATAAATTAAGAATCGTCTAGTCTCTTCGCTTTTAATGCAACCACCTTGTTTGACTTTGTTCTGAACATAAAATGGCTTATAAGATTTTCATGTCTCACCTCAATCCGCTTTCGTGTACCTATTCAGATAGATACAGTTATGGGAAGGGTCTCAGGTATACGCGTATACGGCGTATAATACGGCCACCAGACCTCTTATTGCCTCTCTCTCTCTCTATTGTTTTATACTATGGGCACCAAGGGCAATAAAATCGCAATGGCACGTTTTTGTATGTTCGTATTGTTCTGGAGCTTTTTAAAAGCTTCTCGCCTAGTGTGCCCTGTTTTATTACACGCCAACGAGAAGGGTGTCCATCGAGATAAATTTCTATTTCCGAACAATATTTGAACCGATTGTAAATTTTACAATGAGCTCACGTCCTCGAGGGTTGGGCGCGTATTATAACTGTTTTAATCTTTATAATTTCTGGTTCGTCCTTTATACCTGCCAAATTAGGGGCGCGCCGTTAATCCAGGGTAATATCAACATTTTTCGGAAAGTGATTGGGATCCTCATTAGTTAAAGTGTGTCATTAAAGGAACGGTACTTCAACTTTCGTTATTCGACGATCCCTTTAACATTAGATAGAAGCACAGTGTAAAAATCGTCTGTCATTTTGTATTTTTAGGGCGATCTACACACCCCAGATTCTATGAGATATCTTTTATACACCGAGTGGGCAAGTCTACAGAAATGTCTTCATTATCAGCCGTTAGATTACGTGAAAGAATATTTTGGAGTGAAAATCGGACTCTACTTTGCTTGGCTCGGATTTTATACGCATATGCTTATACCAGCTTCTATCGTTGGTCTTCTATGCTTCATATATAGTTGTGCAACATTGTATTCTAACGAACCAAGCGAAGATACTTGCAATCGCAATGGCACCATAGACATGTGTCCGTTGTGCGATCATTTCTGTGGATACTGGGATCTGAAAGAAACTTGTCTACACTCGAGAATTACGTATTTGTTCGATAATCCGTCTACCGTGATTTTTTCTGTATTTATGTCGTTGTGGGGTACGTGATATAATTGAAATTTAAAGTACTAACTTTTGAAGGTGTTACAGAGAATTCTTATTTTATATATTTTTTTATTAGCTACACTGTTCTTGGAATTGTGGAAGAGGTATTCAGCGGAAATAACTCATAAGTGGGACTTGACTGGTTTAGATGCTCAAGAGGAACATCCTCGACCTCAGTACTTAGCACGTTTAGCGCATATAAAAAAGAAGTCCCTTAATATCATTACAAATACAGAGGAACCAAAAGTTCCGTTTTGGAAAATGAAAGTACCTGCCACGATTCTTAGTTTTTCCGTCGTTTTATTATTGGTACATAAATTACAAATAAACAAGTCTCTGCCATTCTTTAGTTGTAAACTCTTCCTTAGTTATGCTGTACATTGCAGATCGCAATAGCGATGGCTGCCGTCTTAGGAGTTGTCCTCTATAGAATGTCTGTGTTAACTGCATTGAGTGTTTACGGTCATCCAATGGTAACAAGTTATGCAATACTCTTTACTACAGCCACAGCAGCTAGTATTAATTTGTGTTGCATTATTGTGTTCAACTGGGCTTATGTTTGGTTGGCTGAATACTTGACAGAGGTATTTTTACATAACCATTAATAGCGAAGTATTTATTTCTTATTTTTCTCTGTAATGATTGTTATCATTTTTACAGATCGAACTTCTTCGAACTCAAACTGAATTCGACGATAGTTTAACATTAAAAATATACTTGCTCGAATTTGTAAATTATTATGCTTCCATTTTTTATATAGCATTTTTCAAAGGAAAGTTCGTTGGTTATCCGGGAAAGTATACTCGCTTTTTTGATTATCGGCAAGAGGAGTGCGGACCTGGTGGTTGTCTTATGGAGTTATGTATACAATTAAGTATTATTATGATTGGTAAACAAGCCATGAATACGATATTAGAAATGCTGTTTCCGTTATTTTTTAAATGGTTGAATACGTTAAAAGTACACGTCGGAATGAAAACGGAGGATGGACAACGAAGAAACGCGTCTAGAAAACATCTTCAGTGGATCAAAGATTATAAATTAGTAGAATGGGGTCCAAGAAGTTTATTCCCGGAGTATTTGGAAATGAGTAATGATATTAAATTATCATAAATTCGTTGTACATATTTACATTTCATTTAATTCTCAATACTTTAATCCGTTGTAGTATTACAATATGGATTCGTTACTATCTTCGTCGCTGCATTTCCGTTAGCGCCATTTTTCGCGTTATTAAATAATGTTTTTGAAATGCGACTGGATGCAAAAAAATTGTTAAGAATGTACAGGAGGCCAGTAGGACAGCGTGTCATAGATATAGGTATATGGTATCGCATTCTCGATTCGATTTCTAAATTGTCCGTTATAACTAATGTAAGTTCAAATATTTTACAACTATATCATTCGAGAATACACTTTATACTTGTAACCGAAATTTTGTAGGCATTCATCATAGCTTTTACATCGAATTTTATACCGAGATTGGTTTATCGAATGACTGTTTCCGACAATTATTCTCTCGAAGGATTTTTAGAACATTCTCTTTCGAAGTTTGATACGGACGATTTAAAAAATGGTACTCAGCCGTTTTCTCTACCCAATGACAAACCAGTAAAAATATGTAGATATCCAGATTACAGGGAACCACCAGAATCACCAAATAAATACCAATATTCGATTATGTTTTGGCACGTATTAGCTGCTAGATTAGCTTTCATTGTTGTATTTGAGGTACGTTTGCAGTTATTATGCGTTGTATATACATGTATTAAGCTTTGGCATGAACATAACCTATATTTTTTTTTTTAGAATCTCGTTGCTCTTGTAATGATACTTGTACGATGGTGCATTCCTGATATGAATCCGCAATTACGAGACAAAATTCGGCGGGAGGCCTATATAACTAACGAAATAATTATTCAACAAGAAGCATCGCGCGCTTGTGGGAGATCAACTGATCTAAATGAAAATACAAATCGGTGGAACAGAGTTATGAGAAGTAGTTTATCAAACTCCGAATTCGATTTAGAAGTCCATGGATCTCCTATATCTCCCGCCAATGCACGCTCACAAATTGGACCTGCCGCGGTATAATAAATGTAGATAAAAGAACCATAACTGTGATGCTAGTCTCGATACTGTACATTGGCAAATATCATTTGAAAAAATTACGTATAAAATGTATGAGATGCTACTAATAGTACTATCGGCGGTAAACAAAGCTACTATGTCGCTTATACTTGGTCATATATTTTTATTAATCAATGCGATTTATATAAGTATGAAATGGAGGGAGTATTCTCATTATCTTAATTTATATTTGCAAGATATTATGAACAAAAAATCCGAAAGTACACTTGTGCCTATGCAAAAACGTTATAATGCACATAGTTCGCTCAGTCATTATTGTGTCAACAATTTAAGTATATAAATTGTTATATTTATCTATATATTAAGTCTCTATTTAAAGACTCTGTAAGTCTTCCTCTATTTAAAGTTCCTTTGAATCATGATATGTGGAACTAACTTTTAAGAGTGAATTTACTTTGTTAATTAAAGCAAAAATTTGGTTGATTTGTTTTTTATTAATATCTTTGTAACATAAAATCTACCTCCACTATACATGTGAGTTTATTATACAAATTTTCACACTTTTACATATTTACAAGTACGGAATTTATATTTTACTATATTCAGCTGCCATGTCTGACGAATATTAATAATAAGATCTGTATGTATTTGGTATTATTATGATTAATTCTATATATATATATATAGAATATAATGTTATATTTTATAATATAATTTATAAAAATTAAAACGTATACAATAAAATAAATAAAGACATTTATTAAAAGTGGTATGATTAATAAATTCATTCTAAAAGGATTCCATCAAACGATATAACAACGAATTTATTTTGAAAGCACGGATCGGAACCCTTAAAGTTTTGCATCGGTGGGAAACCGCCCGTTTGTCGCCAATTAGTTCCCACTCTCGACGCTAGATGGCGACAGCATCGTCGGTAAGTAAATGGCTCCATCTAGCGTTACGAAAGGGAACTAATCTGCGACAAACTTGGGCGTTTTCCCGATAGAGCCGCTGACTAAACTCCGAAAATTAGTTCGGTCTTTTCACCACTAGATGGCGACGCACATAAAGGTCAGTTGCGCCATCTAGCAAGGAGTAGAGGAACTTCTTTCACTACCAGCTTCGGCCTTTATTCGTCAGATGACGTTACTCTATGGAGGGAAAATTAGTCCTAGCGACGAGATACCATTTGTGTCTTCTAACTATATAAATGTCAATAGCGAATCTTTCCTAACCTCTTATGCGTGTTTACAATTTAATAAACAATCGTAAAGTTGTAAATTGTAAATTACAAACAAATATGATATCTTTATTTAATAAATTCTTCAAATTGTACATGTAAAACCATCCCTCACACTACTGTGGCATCTATTAGTAGCTGCAAAGTGTATATGTATGTATTACTTGTAGTATGAATTGAATGTAATACATTAAAAATTGATTTAATATAGTAGAAACTTTCACTTATGTAAACTTACCCATTTTTTTAAAAAGCTTTTGTACAGAAATAACAATCGTAACTATATTAAAAAATGTTTTTAAGCCCTTAAGCTTATCTAACACAAACGATTTTGCATATTAATTGATTATTTTTTTCTTGTTAGCAAAAACATGTCAACTGAAGAAGGAAATCGCACTGGAACTTTGCAATCTTTAGAGGAAAGTAGCCAATCTGTTAGCAGTACATCCCAACATGCAGGAAACAGCCGGGAAGCTAACAGTGCCAGACCTCAAGAGCAAAGTAGCCGCCAAAACAATCTTCAAAGAATACAACAACGAAAACAGCAAATGTTAAATTTACCACAGATGAAAAAGATATTGAAAATTGCAACTTACAGTGCATGTAAAGTCGATGAATGCAAATGTATCGGATGGAAAAATCCTCAGTTACTGACCAAATCTCCTAAAAGTGACTCTCAACAGCCTATTATAAATTTTTTCGATCCATGTAAAAGCTGCACCCACATTTTAGAAAATCATGTTTCTCACTTAACCAATCAATCGGAGGAGGAAATCAATAAATTATTGTGCATGGTCATAGATGCAGACAATATTTTCTTAGGATTACAAAAAGAGGAAGATCCTGATACAAAGAAAGTTTATTTTTACTTGTATAAACTTTTAAGGAAATGTATACAGTCGATGACAAAACCTACAATAGAAGGTCCTTTAGGACAACCACCTTTTGAAAGACCTAGCATAGCAAAAGCAGTAATGAACTTTGTCGCGTATAAATACGGGCATTTGCCGCAAAGAGATATGCAAGCTATGTGTGATATGGCAAAGATGTTCTTGCACTGTTTGAATCATTGGAACTTTGATCCTCTCAGTGCCCGAAGAGGTACAATTAGCGTCGAAGATGCCCCCGCGTATAAAATTAATCATACACGCTGGCTAGTATTTTGCCACATACCAGCATTTTGCGACTCTTTACCTCACTACGATACATCGTTAGTTTTTGGACGAACGTTCGTTCAAGCTATTTTCAAACCAGTTTCTAGACAATTATTAGATAAATGTCATAGCGAGCGAGATAAGTTAGCACCGGAGAAGAGAGTAATAGTCCTAACTCACTTCCCTAAGTATGTAAAAATTCTTTCCTCGTCTTCGTTTAATTTATATTATTTCATTACTTGATAGATAGAAATATTACTTTAATTTCAGATTTCTCTCGATGTTAGAGGCAGAAATTTATTCGGATAATTCACCGATCTGGGATCCTGATTTCAAGCAAGTACCTCCTACTTACTTGCAAAGCGCGTTAGAATCAAAATCGAATCAAGGAAGAAGAACAGGCGAATTTGAAAAAGTTACGATCACGCCAAATGATAAAGATAGTTACACAACGATTAATATAAGTCCTGGTATGAAAAAAATTCACGAAAAGAGATCACATTCCGAAGGACGTTCGGATGTAAAAAGGAGGAAGAACGAAGAAATCTTCGAAGATTTACCCGAAGAAACTGTTGCTGAAATCGTGGCAACTATTAACGATCCCAATTACATGTGCGGACCTGATGCGGTATTTCCTCCAAATGTTCCGCGAGATGAAACTGCTAAGATCGAGGAAAGCCGAAAAATTATCGAATTTCAAGTTGTCGGGAACAGTCTGACACAGCCAGTTTCTAAACAGACGATGCTTTGGCTGATAGGATTGCATAATGTGTTCAGTCATCAGTTACCTAGAATGCCAAAGGAGTACATATCTCAACTAGTTTTCGATCCGTAAGTGTCGCGAATACTAGACAAGTGTTCATTTTTTTTACGCGACATTTCTTAAGGGGGTTTAATTTAATCGTAACAATATTTTATTTACAGTAAACACAAAACATTGGCCTTAATCAAAGATGGTCGACCAATTGGTGGTATCTGTTTTCGAATGTTTCCTACTCAGGGTTTTACAGAAATAGTGTTTTGCGCTGTCACAAGTCAAGAACAAGTAAAAGGCTATGGCACACATTTGATGAATATGCTTAAAGATTATCACATAAAAAACAACATATTACATTTCCTCACATTCGCCGACGAATTTGCGATAGGTTACTTTAAGAAGCAAGGCTTTAGTAAAGATATCAAATTGCCGCGATCTATGCATCAAGGATATATTAAGGATTACGAAGGTGCAACTTTAATGCATTGCGAATTAAACGCTAAAATTGTGTATACCGAATTTACAGCTGTTATACGAAAGCAGAAAGAGATTATTAAAAAATTGATTCATCAAAGACAACAGGAGATACAAAAGATTCATCCTGGTTTAACGTGTTTTAAAGAAGGGGTTAGGGGAATTCCTGTTGAATCTATTCCTGGCATTCGAGAAACTGGCTGGAAAAGTTATGCTCAAACGAGGACAAGGGGGGTGGCTAAGGGTACTCAAGGGCCAGAACCAATGGAAGCGTGCTTAGACATTACCGATTCACTATACAATGCTTTGAAAAATGTTTTGAACAGCGTAAAAAATCACAGTACAGCCTGGCCATTCTTGAAACCTGTCGACAAAAATGACGTTCCGGATTATTACGATCACATTAAGTATCCTATGGGTGAGTGTGACAAGAATCGAAAACACAGTTATAGGAAATAATTGAAAAATTTTTAATTTTTATTTTATTTCTCAGATCTCAAGACTATGACCGATCGACTAAAAGCTCGATATTATGTTACAAGAAGATTATTTATCGCAGATATGACACGGATTTTCACAAATTGTCGTTTATACAATAGTCCCGATACCGAATATTATCGATGCGCAAACGCTTTAGAAAAATATTTCCAAACGAGGATGAAAGAAATCGGTCTTTGGGATAAATAGAAATAATTATATCCAGAGCAGACATGTTGATTCCAATTTTTTTCCTTTTCCTTTTTTTTTTTCATTTGTGCATTTGTAAGTGTAAAACGTAAAATTGCGGAACAATGAAAATATATATTTATTTATTTAACTGTCTTCCCTAAGGCTTCCTTTGCACTCCAAAAAACGACTGAAAATAGGATATGCAGTAAATTAAAATCAAACTAAGTAGGTACTTAATTTCACGGCCTAATTATAAGCATTAGTTAAACAGTTAATTACGAAATGTAATACACCGATTATAACGAGGCTCTGCCTAGTGGTTATTCTATGGAACAGTGACTTCTTAAAATGCGTTAATTCTGGAAGAGTTGGCAAACTAAAACTTATATTCTCTGTAAATATAAAAAAACTATTAATTTATATAATTTAAATAAAAGACATTTTTAAACGAATCACATATTTGTCGAGTTCTACTTTAAACAATTACGCATTCGTACGCGATTACAATATCGGAGAATGATTATTTATTTGAAAAAATTATATTCACAATTCGAGTAATTTAAAAGTTTAAAAATATATGTATATATATATATACATATATTTATAGACAATTACATATTAAATTTAAGATTGTGAGTAAACTTTACGTTAGATTTTATGCAGTAAATAAAAGATTTTGCTTTTTTACATTTCTTCCATTTTCTATAAATTTTGTAACGCGATGCAACTTGTACAATTTCGTTTGTGTCCGTTGAACTCTTACGAAGCTGGGTTTCACTTTCTTCGATAAGCAGGATTTACTCGGTCTTAAATATAAGCGAAGTATACTGTGATCTAAATTGCATTCAGTTGAGAGAATTCAATACAAGCAAAGAGACAAGGAAATACTTTATATGCTCTACTTAATACAAACTCTGTGTACGTAATGTGATAACGTTCTCTTAATTGGCATACATTAAAAACCAATTAAATTCTCTCCAAAAGTATTCTTCCCAGCTTCTGTATTAGGTACAACGTTAGTAAGTACAGTTATATGGATTTTGCAAATTCTATATAGCGCGTAGCGACTGATACAATTGTAATCGCGTAACTTTTGATACAGGATAAATAATAATAACTTATTATATTTCCTTGGATGGTGGATAGCAGTTGATTAAGGTGCGAGAAACTGTTTGAAATACAGACATGAACGTACAGAGGTAGAAAAAGAGGGGGAGTCAATATAAAGCAGCTCCATTCTTTCAGAGGAACGATATTAGAGGAGTCATCGCACTGCGACGATAGAACAAAGTCTAGTCACACAAATAAATTTTGCTTTTTTACAGTTTATATATTTAAAGAATTTAAACTAAATTAAAAAATTTCTCGAAGAAATTTCTCTACGAAGAAATCGTTTCCGTTTTAAAATGTGCGACGACGACGTTGCAGCCCTAGTAGTCGATAATGGGTCTGGAATGTGCAAAGCAGGATTTGCCGGAGATGATGCCCCACGTGCCGTGTTCCCTTCTATCGTTGGAAGACCTCGATATCAGGTAAAATAAAATTTGTTCGTTCATTGTTTTATACGAGACGAGTAATTTGAAAATGCGTAGGGAATCATGGTTGGTATGGGGCAGAAAGATAGTTACGTGGGAGACGAAGCCCAAAGTAAAAGGGGCGTTTTGACAGTAAAGTATCCGATCGAGCACGGTATCGTAACAAATTGGGACGATATGGAAAAGATATGGCATCATACATTTTACAACGAACTGAGGATCGCCCCCGAAGAACATCCCGTTCTTTTAACGGAGGCACCGTTGAATCCTAAAGCTAACCGGGAAAAGATGACACAAATCATGTTCGAAACGTTTAATTCACCCGCGATGTACGTTGCTATACAAGCCGTTTTGTCGTTGTACGCTTCGGGGCGCACAACAGGTATCGTATTAGATAGCGGTGATGGAGTTTCGCATACGGTGCCGATTTACGAGGGTACGTAACAAATATAGAATGTACATCCACTTACTTATCGCGGTTTTTCTATAATAGGCCACGTTAAATTTATTCTGAAATTAAAGAAAAAAAACGTACCTATATTACACTATAGGAGAAATATATGTAAGAACATTTCTACTCTATCCAGGATATGCCTTGCCACACGCAATTTTGCGTATGGACTTGGCTGGCCGCGACTTAACGGACTACCTCATGAAGATCTTAACCGAAAGAGGATATTCGTTTACGACAACAGCGGAGCGTGAAATCGTCCGAGATATTAAGGAAAAATTATGTTACGTTGCATTAGACTTTCAGCAAGAGATGGCTACCGCTGCCGGATCTAGTGCCCTGGAAAAGAGCTACGAATTACCAGACGGTCAGGTAATTAGAATTATGTATTCCTTCGTGCCTTTTGAAATGCCGGTTTAGTAGCGCGTTTACAGTACCGTAAATTAACGTCGATTTTAGGTAATTACCATTGGTAACGAACGTTTCCGGTGCCCAGAAGCGATGTTCCAGCCCAGTTTTTTGGGCATGGAATCTTGCGGGATACACGAAACCACCTACAACTCGATCATGAAATGCGACGTCGATATTCGCAAGGATCTATACGCGAATTCGGTATTGTCGGGCGGTACCACCATGTATCCAGGTATCGCAGACAGGATGCAAAAGGAAATAACGGCATTGGCACCGTCTACGATGAAGATCAAGATAATAGCGCCCCCGGAAAGGAAATACTCGGTCTGGATCGGTGGCTCGATCTTGGCCAGCTTGAGCACATTCCAACAAATGTGGATCTCGAAACAAGAGTACGATGAATCGGGACCATCCATCGTACATAGAAAATGTTTCTAATTGCTTTGTAATTTAGACACCAACAAAGACCGTACTGTAATCATTTTAATCAACATTGTCAAAATCAACATTGTCTAAACCACAAAAACTGTTTTACTTTAGTATCCATTTACGAAAGTTTCGATGTTTCTATGGGACGATTAATCTTTCGCATTTATCAAGACACTCTTTATGAAATAACCTTATTTATTCCATATCTCTTATTACTAAAGTATAACTCGCATTGTGTACAGGGCATTACGTAAGTGTGACCGGATCTTACATGCGCGACGATCATTTAATTCGATTGATTCAATCCATCAGTTACGGAATAACCTGTACGAAAATAGTAATAATGTACGTACATACCATAGTATATAGTATAGTATTTATACACAATATAATAAATATATTATATCTCGATTCAATCAAGTTAGAAACATATACACATTTATTTATACTTGCGTGCGTTGTATTGTACATGTAAATATACACACGCGCCATACTCAACGTACACATACATACACGTATGTATACAGGTCCTACAAGTTATTTGCACATACGCGGTGAAAATCTCTTTCATTTAACATTTCTTCAAACATTACAATATTTTTGAACAATTTGTATAATTAGTGAAAATTAGTAAATACGTATCGATATCCAATATCAACGCAAATGTGAAACGTGAAAGTATTCATATATTATAGAATGTATTTTTTTTTATAAAGTAAAAAACGTACGATTACATATACATCGTTATCGTATAAATGAAAAAGAAAACAAAAACTAACATTTAATTGGAAAGACGTTCCTTTATTTACAAGTTATAATTATTATATTCACCGTGTCTTAACATCGAGCATTTCGGTTCAAGAAATTCTGATACTTCACATGGACGGTTGAATCGAGTATCACGTCACTGTAGTTACGTGTTATGAAATAGAATTATACATATAACTAAATGTACACGAATAACAGAGATTAGTGCAATTTGTCGAATTATTTAAATAAATATTCACAATTAAATGCAATGGTAAAATTGACAAAAAAAAAGAATTAAAATAGGAGGCGTTTTAGTTGCACGTCACTCTTCCTATTTGCATACAAATAAAAAGGAATTGAAAATATGAGAAACGTATAATTTTTATGATACTAGAAAGCTATTCCGAATCATAAATAAAATTTTTAAACGCTGAGGTTTGATATTAATAACCTCGAAAAACCAATCATTTAGCGATGTTTAACGGGTGTTCATATCGAATTTGTTTAGTTTGACATCGTAACCCCTTTTCCTTTATAACATTTAATATAAAATAATAAAATTACAAATAATACATAATCTCCTATATAATCGATTTATGACAACATGGCCAATATATGCAGGTTATATCGTTTATGTTACTCGTTATTTATTTATCGAGAGCTATGTGTTCCCTTAACTGTAATATTTATCTTTACCACATTAGAACTGTATTTACCACATTTGTTAAATAGCACTCCGACACACTCGTGTACTAAGCGTAACAGTACTCAGAATTCGAGTTAAAAAAATACATGTTTCAAGTTTTTAAGTATCTCGCTTTATAGTTTGTCGAATAAATCCATTAATATTAGATTTTCTATTCCGTTATTTTTATGACTTTATCGTTCAACCAAATACGCCAAATTAATCTTCCTACGATAAGCTACAAATTTGGAACACGAATATAGTGTTTTTGCAATCCCGAGATATTCGTGCTTTCGATGTATTTCTGATATTTCAGGAAGACGATAGTTACGCCTTTGAATATTTTTAAATCTTTCATAGATAATTACGCTTTTTACATTTATTACACTACAAAGTGGTCCACAAAGGGTACAACATAGCTAAGATAAGTTTCTGGATGAACGCATCAGATAGTTACGAGAATAAATTGCAATGAAAACATTACAGACAGTTGGAAACCATAATGGATCGAACATATTTTCGTACGTATTATTTTTGTTAATGCGATTAACAAAATTTGATCCAATATGGTTTTCAACTCTCCAAGCTTTACATTACAAACTACACATTTCCACCATTCGAGAGTATTCTAGTCCTTAACGATAAATACATCTGTGTAATACAATAAATGCATCTGTACCATTGGTACTTTTTGGAAATAGTTGTGGAACAATTCCGTAGGTACGAATACCTTTCCTTGGTATCGTTTCGAGACCAAAGAAAAGGGGCTACGAAGAATGTAAAATAAACCGTATTGTTTGCTCACGCACAATATTGCTTTTATATCAAACCTTTTTGGGCAAACATCCGTAGCATCCTCATTTCAGTTCAATTAAATTCATTAATTCATTTTACACAATTTTTTGGAAAAAGATACATTTAATCTGAATGTTTAAGATGATTATTATAATTTGTACGATCCCAATTGAGATTTCACAGATATAAATAATAAATACTAATTAAAATCAAATAAATGAATAACGTTTTTATCAAATCGCGACGATAGGCATTAGTTGTATAAGTAAAATGATCTCATCGATTTTAATAAATGGGTATTTTTAGATCAGCACTTTTTGTTTAAACTTCGTTCAGTGAATACATTCTATAGACAAATACGTAGAAAATAAAAAAGTAGTAGGTACTTCTATTAGTTACAGTCATCTTTCCTGGATTATATTTTAAAAAATGTAATAAAAATATCTTTGGTGCCCCTATTCATGTAGTAAAAAGTATATGGTTTTAGAAAAGAGAGAAAAAAAAAACAAAAATATAAGGAAGCAAGTCTACAATAAAGATTAAAAATTATCAGACAAAGGTAGTCCTGTCTGATGTCGTAAAACTGTTTATCTCCTGGTGGATTTTCTTCTACCTGTCGATCGTTTTGGACGCCGACTATTCGATCGTGGCATGTTTGACCAAGGTAAAGAAAATTCGCTGCAAGATTAAAATTCAAGTCAATTAATAAAAATCGGTATGAACTTAGATTATTAATACGTTTCTATTTACCTCGGAGAAAAACTAGGAATAGGAGCACCAAATGCAGTAACAGGTAATTGGGGATCCACTTGAAGACTGTGTATTTGTTCTATATCAGGCCATAACGACGATACGGCTTCTTCTTCGACCGCCGAAGGGCAGGGTCCTGTGTGATTCGTGTTGTAACACGTAGCTTGGTGATTCTGACGTTCTTGTCTCTGCTTTAATTTTTCGATGTGCCTCTGCTCTCTGAAAGAAATTATTGACAAATAACTCGATATGTATAGATAGTCGAATATACCGATACAGCGTATTACTTGTCGATATTTTGATAGTAGTACAAACCTTATCCTTTGTACATCCCATCTTTTTCTTCTCCTCTCGTCATTTTCCAGTTTTAAATGCCTTTTGTTAAAAATTTCGTCGTCTAAATTTTCAGTCCCTTCCATCGTGTAACAGCTCGTATATATCTTCACTCTCCAATTTGGAACTTCCAAGGAGGTATCGCTTTCCACTGGACTAGGTTCCTTCAAACTTAACGTATAATTAGGATCTCCGACAGCTGTGTAATAATGTTCTTCTGTCGTGAGGAAAGATTCCTTCTTTGAGAATAATTTTCCTTTTCTATCACTTTTTCTACCAGTTTCATGAATTAACACCTTATCCTGTACCGTAGTGTCATTACTAATGGTAGACGAACACGAGACACCTCTTTTTCTTTTGCTTCCACCAGACAAGGGTATCGGGTCCGATCTTCTCTTTTTCTTGTCTTCCCAATCTAATCTAATATCACTACTAGGTTCTACCTTTGTTTCGAGTTTGCCTTGATTATCATTCAATTCTTGCTTGACGGTAGTAATTCCACCGGTGGTGTTCAAACGAATTTTAAAGCTTTCGTTATACCGAGAATTATTGTTCTCGGACTGAACGTTTCTGTGTATTTCACTGGTCGACGGCACATTCACAGAATTGATGGTTGGAGGTGAACACGTTCCGATATGCTCCGACGTAATAGAATTTTCGTTACTTTCCGATCGTAATTTTTGTAAGTTGACACGTCTGTCCATACGCTCCAAACGTAACTTAAGCTACAATATAAACATCCATTTATTAGTAAAGACTTGACGTGAATGTTTTTAAAGATACAACTAACAATGCAATTATAACCGAAGCAAACAAATTAAAATTGCATAAAAGTTGGACGATTTAGATCATTTCCTCTCGTTTAACGTAGGCATAAGTATTTGGAGGTAAACAACCGTACAAATTAATTAGGATTCGATTAAACATCTTTATTTACTGTCAACAAACGATAGGTCGATCGGGTTTTCGTCACTTTGCGAATTCCAGGCATTATTATTTTCACAATTTATCACTCGTATACATAGTACAACGAAGTAACAGTGACAGCGACGTTGGTAGAACAGTTTGAAAGTATATTCTTTTGGAAAATCTGCTTTTCGAAAAACTTTTCCATTTTCCATTACAAAAGTGCCGTCATTGCTTGGGCAGAACGCGCGCGAGAATCGAACAAAACGTGTAGTAACGTGCTCACTCGTTTCGAAGGTGTAATTCTACAAGAAACAGCGCCATCCTGTGGCGTCGTTATGGCTGACCTTCACGATTGACCGACCAATGGCAGAAACAGGAATAAGACCGGGAAAACAGAGTCGAAAGAAAAAACAGAGGCAAAGACAGTAAACTGACGTATGCATAAACAAATATAAGCGCGGGTATTTTGGAATATGTATTTCGTCGATCGTAGTTTTTGTTTAAGGAGGAAAGGAGGAAAAAATAGAACGATATAGGAAAGAGGATAAAAGGAATAACGAAAGGAACGATGTGAAATGAAATAAATAAATGAAAGGCGACAGTAGAAAGCGAAAGAATGTACCGTTTCGTTTTCCTGTCGAAGAGCCGCTAACAGTTTGTCCTTGGTGACGATTTGTTCGGATTGTTGTTGAATCAAATCGAGATGAAGAAGCAACAACTCTTTGAGGTGTTTTACCTCAGTGAAATCGTTCTGACGAGGTTCGTTACCTCGAAGAGGACTGACACCGAGAGCAGAAGTGGCAGTGGCGACCGCCGGAGCTCCGCCGTCTGTCATACTGGCGTACATGTGATCGAAATCACAAGGGAAACTGAGTATTCCAGCGGCTGGTTTGCCGTTTTCACCAACATTTTGGAATTCATTGCGCGAACAACTATTGTTCTGGTTAATAACGGAATTAACGGTGGTGCTGGTCGTCGAGACCGTGGTACTCCGAACGCCGCTGGTTGCCGACGTGGTGGACAAGTGTTCATTCATCGCCGCAACCATGTTGTCGTCGTCCTCCTCCTCGTTGTCCTCTTCTTCGTCTTCTTCGTAACAAGAAGTAGCAGAAACAGCCGTGGTCGTTGGTTCGTCGTGATCGATGATAGTAGTGGTATCGGTGGTGTTGGTAGTAGTAGTGGTAGTGGTAAGAGTTACGATTGGCGTCTCGATGCAACACCTCGAGTACAGGTCTCGAACTTCTGTTTCGCTAAACTCTGTCTCGTCGTTCGTTTCCCTTTGATCTCGTATCGTTTCGAGATTTTCCGCTGTTTTTAGATCAGAGTTTACGTCGCGAAACTCCACGCTGCCAACGACGCCCCCGGCGGTCAAGCCGGTAACACAGACACCGCTATTACTGCCGCTGTCACCGTTACCACTACTATCAGCGGAACAACCACTATCACTATTATCACTGCCACTACCGGCGTTACTAGTGGTATTAGACGCAGTAGTACCAGTACAAGCGGTAGCAACGATAGTAGGACCGTTACTAGTATCACCAGCGAGAACAACTATAGAAGAGCCAGTGCTGCCAGCAGCGCCGCTTTCGTTCTCCTTCCTGTTCCCGTACTCGTACCCGTGAACGTTTTCCTTCTTATTCTCACCGTTCACGAGCTTCGAGACCGAGCCACTCGACATCTTCCCTCTCTACCACCCTCGTCGTGGCTTCCCTCTTCTTCATTTGTGGCCGCCTCGAGCGTACCACGCGCCCGCACCGCGCACATTAAGCGTCTTGACAATGCCCTCACCGACGATGCGACGATGTCCTCTTCTCACCGCTGCTGCTCTATATACTCCTCGCTTATCATTACCTATCCCTTCGCCTATCCCTTGCACGCTTTACTTTCCAAACACTTTTATTCCAACGATGTCGTTTTTCTTATCTGTTCGTGTCTAAAACACTCGTCAAAAAGTATCTGCCACTGACTTGGCAGCGCACGAGGTACCTCTTGCTCGAGATCGTGCTTGTGTTTACTCTGACGGACGATGCGAGCCGCGCACGGCGTTTCTTTGACTCGCAGCATCGTATACGCCACTGACATCTCGCGGTCCCAATCGCAAACCTTGTTCTCTTATTTACTTTTTCCATCGATCATCCACTTCACCATCGACGCATGTCAATCGAATGCAAACTTCAAGCTTCTTCCTTTGCTCCACCGTATCCGCGAATATCCGATTCTGTATTCTATTCTGCTTATGATTCTGATTCCGATGCCACTTACTGACTTACCCTGAGTCACCCCGAGTAATGAAAACAGTAAATAACGCATGCGCTTTTGTTTCTTATTGCACAATGCTGTACGTTGAACGAGCTGCGAAAGTCTTTAAACTTTTTCAATTGACAAGTTTGTCAATGATCGAGATATGTAAGTTAAACCAGAATTTTTTAAATATCTTTTACGACTACAACTATATACGAGACAATTATCAAGATTACGTTGGCTCGAAACCTTCGAAAACTCTGTTCTTTCCCGCTAAATCTGCTGCCACATATACATATCATGATTTGCAATTATTAATTTTTTAAATCGACTCCCTTAATATATTTCTTTAACGTTACATCGTTATTGCCAGAAATGCCCACTGACAACACTATTTTCTTTTACACTGTTTGGCATCAGCTTTGCCAATTACGTGATAATTTTAGAAAATTTTCGATAACGTATGAATGCGTCATTGAAAACTATTTATTTCTGAATATATATTTTCGTATCGTGCGAAACGTATCGTAACGAGCAATACAAAATTATCAAGAATTATTTAATCAATGTAATCGTAACCTATGCAGTTTATCGTTCGTTCAGCGATAAATATAAAAATGTATCCCTACATTTACTACATTCGTCATCGATGTCACATACAAATTTTATTTCGAGAATTAGTATATCAGCATCAAAAGTCAGTGTACAATACGTTACATATTCTCGTAATGTTTCAGGAAGAAACAGTAATGATCTGGAACGACGAACGTCTAATATACGATTGATAGTAATAGAAATGATACAAGTTTGAGCATACCAGTTTATGGGTTATTCCATTACATTTCAGAGATATGTATGATCGCCTCTTAAACAAAGAGAAAATTGATACAGGTCTTGCATATAAAAGAGGAAGCTAACACTAAATGCTACAATTGTACCGCGAAAAACTTGCACGATACAATCGGTGAACGTGAATTCGAGACTTAATTATAAATTACTATGTTGCGCTGTACTCGTTTTGTAACAAAAATCGATGTCTGCGACACTACGACATATGTGCAATAAACTTTGATTATACAAGTTTTGATTTCGAGATTAAAGTTATAAAGTTTTACTCGTCATTTTTCATAGCTTAATCGACTGTCATCATCCTTTAAAAATCTAAATTAAATAGAAGTACTTTTAACGAAATATTATTTTTGTTTGTAAACTTTGTAAACAAAATAAATCGTTTATTGCATCACATGTTATTATTATATCTATTCTATCGATTAAAATAGTATATCGGTATGTCCTATAAATACGAATGATAATTTATATAATTGGAAGTTACCAAACAAACAATAATTTGTCATTTATGACACATCGTGATTTATCGTGCACATCACCGATACGATCACCATTTTTGAAATAACATTGTACAACAACATCGTGAATATTGTTTGATAGTCATATTTAAAAAATGTGATCCAAAAGATGAAATAATCATTTCTAATCATTTTTTCGTGTAGGTATTGTTCCAAGAGCTGAATTTTGTTAAAAGTATTATTTATAATCATAAGCCCAACATAATCTAGATTTATATCTATCTTATAGCTAGTTTTTGAACTTTATCGAGGGTGGATTTTATGCGTTCGAACGTCTCAGAATAAAGAGACACGAACGCCGAAGGAAATTATATGGTCTTGTAACGTTCACCGGCACACACCGTAAAAACACATATCTTCCGAGTAATTCGGTATTAAAAATCTAACTATGTTTGAGTATTATTTGGATCCAAGGATGCATATGCGATTAATAAAAAGTTACATCTAGTCGATCCGTGATTTTCAACGTGACGTCGCCATCATTTCCAAAGTTACATGTACTTTTTGTTATCGTTTACAGTACATTAATTAAATATCTAATAAATATAATAACCATGGTTTACAATGTTTAAACGTTAACTAATTACATGCATACATAAATATAATTACTTCCTACGCTACGCGACGATATCCTACATACACATTTCTATGTACAATTGTTGTAGTACTTTTTTATTTTTCTTATTTTAATAAAATTTCTGCTGTAACACGTATATAACAAAATATTTTCGTTAAAACTTTCATATTTAACAAATAAAACTCTAAAACATTGTTCGTTAAGAACACTTATTTAAAATAGCGAAATTTTTTCTAGTATAAATCTCACAAATTCTAACAATTCCAAATTAATTTTTCTCATATCAGGTAAGCGACACTTGCTAAGTGTATATGCGTTAATAAATATTTCAAATAGATTAAATTTCAGTCAAATTTTTAAGCGTAGATTACAATGAATCGATCATCTGTTAAAAAGGAAAACTTTTAGTAATACGAAATACATGACGGTTTTAGGAAAATGTATGTTACACTGGAATTTCCCAGATGTTATTTCAATGCAAAAAATCGTACTCTTATGACTAGAGTTATAATGTTTAGTATCAACATAATTAAATAATATTGTTCCTTAACTCTTTTTCAATTACGGTAAATTATTAATTACTCGCGAGCAATCGTGAACTTTCCTCCTTTTTGGCATCATTATCGGTGATTTCTTCGTTAACAAAATGTATTCACAATATAATTAATAAATATATATATGTATTTATTTATTTATCCAATTTCATAAGGAAAATACTTGTTTTTCTGGAATTGAGCTCTGTTTAATCCTTGAACATTAAAGAAATCTCGATAAATGATAATTCCATAATATTTTCATCAATTGAAATTTAGCGTCTACGAAAAGAGTTAAAAGGAATCAAGTAAGTTTGTTACACTAAATGAATAGTAATTCGTAACGTTGAGTCCGTTTCTCTTAACCTGATATTTTCTTGTCTGTTACGATAAAACCGTGACGTTAGCATTAGGAACTAGATTGAAGTTTAATTAAAAATCAAACTCCTTCGAAAGTGTACGCACGTCTCGACAGCATCTATGATACATGGATAATAAACTAAATTTGTAATAATTTTAGTTTAAAAGTATTCAAATATTCCCGATTGTTTTTGTAAAATGTAACGAGAACTGGTGATCTAAAGCAAAAGATACCTTCGCCGTTAGTTACAAGAATTATTTAACAAATTTCCCATTTGCATTCGATTCCACCGCGTATGAAAATGTTTTTTTTTTTTTTTTTAAATAATTTTGCGATGAAATTTCTGAAGCGAAACGACGACAGGTGAACTCTTTTTACTCGTACGATCTCTGTCGGAATAAACTGCTGATCTCCTCGATCGTCTTGTTTTTCGTTTCGGGTACTTTCTTGTAAATGAAGCAGATGAAAAATGCTTGAAGAGCGGCGAAAATAATGAATACATAAGCACCCAGTGCCTCTTGCAATGGTAGAAATCCTATACTGACGATGAAATTGGCTGTCCAATTGACCGCGATAGCGACAGACGTTGCCGCGGGTCTCGCGGACTGATTGAACAATTCGGAAACCAAAAACCAGGGAATACTTCCTGGACCAGTCGCGAATAGAGCCACGAACATGACCACCAATAGGATCGAGAAGTAGGCTGCCGCGCTAGACGAAGCCTGTAACAAAAACAGACGCGATAAGTTCACATGATACAATCGTGCCATCGATAGAAGTTACGGAATACTTACAGCGAATGCAAGGCAGATCGTGAGTAAGACGGTGGCGATAAACAAACCGGAAAATCCAACTAAGAGCAACTGTTTCCTTCCAGCCTTCTCGACGAGTATCAAAGAAACAAAGGTCATAAGAACGTTCACCGTTCCGACGATCATCGTCGCGATCTGAGCCGCGAATTTATCCAACTGCGCCATCATGAAGATCTTGGTCGAGAAGAACATAACGGCATTAATACCGGATAGTTGTTGCGCGAACATCACCATGAGCGCGATTATCAATGGAATCCTAAGAGCAGAATTCACAAATAGTTCTTTCAGCGTAACCTTTGGCACAAGTTTCATCGACTCGTATTCCGCCCTCATTTGTTCCATCTCGTCGTGAACTTCGATCGTGCCGCGCAGCCAAGTCAAACCTTTAACAACAAACAATCGTCTCGTTACCGATAAACGTATCGCTCCAATAATAGAATAGACGATTTGGTCACTCGAGTCAACCAGTTGGGGTAGGGCAACGAATGACAACATAGCTTCGCGATACAAAATGCCAATTACATACTACCCGGGCTTCTCGAGATTTACGTAGTCCAAGGTCGCAAAAGAAGTAATTAATAAATGATTCATAACGTACCTCTCTGAGCTTCCATATCCTTTCCTTTGGTGACCAATAAATACTTTGGACTCTCGGGGCATAATGGAAGCGTAGCTACTTGGAAAATGGCAGGAACGATCGTTAGACATAAAAGAAGCGGCCAATATTCGTCTGTGCCCAATATTTGCTCCAATCCAAGAACCTGCGATACCAGAATGGACATGGTGATAACCAATTGGTAGACCGTACCAACAGCTCCTCGGAGGTGAATGGGTGATATCTCAGCCAAGTACATCGGTGCTAAACCAGCATTCAATCCAGCGTTGATACCGATTATAAATCTTCCGATAACTATCATTTCGTAGCTTTTGGCTGCCTTCGCGGAACCCTCGAAGATGACCGTGAGAAGGACCAGGATGTTGTTTAGTAACAAACCACCCTTTCGACCGAAACGATCGGCCACCCAACCCACCAGAGAACCGCCGATCATACCACCCACGCAGAATATTGATACTGCTATCGCCCATATTATCGTCACTTCGGATTGTTGCGTTGGACGACCGGTTCGATTTTCTTTCAGTTCGCTGATCCAGTTCTCGATAAGCTACAACACACCACGAGAACCGAATTGTACGAAATTTTTCAATTGGACCAATCGTAAGTTGCGAGAAGAAAAAGAAGAAGAAGAAGAAGATGGATAGTTTCGTACGCGAATATTAATCATTCTACGATTCTTTGTCACCTCATTGGCAAAGTAAAGAAGGCGAATAAGTGACTTCCGCGCGATTCAAACGGCGCTTAAACGCTCGTGTACGTATTGAATAGTCTCTTCGTTACTTCAAAGAAATAAACGGAAGCTATTTTTCGAACAAAACGACAGTCTAAATGGAATGAATAAATTCTATACGAAAATCAGAGACAACAATCGACAATGAAGAGTCCCTAGCGTTTGAATGCTTTTCATCTTTTGGCACTTGGAATTTTTATCGAATACACGACGTTACGAAGCTAATCAAGAGATGCGTAAAACGTTGAAAAAAGTATTCCGTTAATTCATGCAATCGAGGTAACGACCGAACGCGTTCGTAATTAAAGTAGGCATGCATAGATCGTGAAAAGTTTGAGAAAAGTGCCGGCAGCGCGTCTCGAGAAATACCTGCTGAGGAGCATTAACGACACCGGTATTGTACCCATGCTGAAACGATGATCCAAGCGCAGCAGCCGCGATGGCAAACGCTAACCGTCCGTTTAGACCCTGCAACAAAAATAATCAGTTGTTAATCGTACCGAGTAGCGATAAAATCAAACGTATATTATCGTAAGAGTTATCGACTCTTTGAGAACATGGAATAAGATTTCTCTTCCTTTCCCTTCCCGAAGCCAATATTTCACGAAAACGTTAGGAAGACTTATCCTTTAACGTGTAGCTACATCGTACCAAAGACCTGTATTGCGCTTACCGATATCTTGAAGCAAGGTAGCTCGCACACGATCGTTTTTAGCGTCATTGAAAAATTCCAACAGATTCACCGAGCCGAATAGAATCCCAGCTACCGACTGACTACCGAATGCTCGCACGTAGACGTTTATGCAAAATATCAGACTTTGGTGTTTTGAAACACGTGTCAAAGCTACTCCGCGGGTCGGTACTCTCGCCACGCATTTTTATACCGCTCCCTGCCCTCGGCACACAAGCGTGTTGGACAACCGATACAACACTCGTACATCAGCGAGCAGAATAGCAGGCAGTCTCAACTTACATACTTACAAAGGCTTACTAACCAGTGTCTCTCAAATCATTCCTCTCTCCATATCGTACTATACCATACTATACTATACTATACACTGTACACTTGTCAGCAAATGTAAATGAATCGAAGCCACATCGCGACGAGCGTTATCGTTACAATCTACCTGCTATTCCAATTCAAGCCTGTGAAAATTTCGTGACGCGTCGTCCATTTATTTTGTCGAAAATTAATATCCTACCGTAAGAACGCAAGCGGAGAACATCCGCGAGACCTCTAATAAAACTTTGAATGTCACGCAACATTTTACTTTTCATGAATACGCATATTACGAAACGTATCGAAAACAACTCTCGTTTTCACGTGGGAGCAATGCCACAACTGGCTACCACCGCTTCGCTCGAGACGGATCTTTAACCGATTTACTGCTGTTCGGAATCTAGCCAAAATTCTATCGCGAAGAGTGCAGAAATGTAGAATCGAAAACGTCGGAGAACTTTTTGCACGGCGGGAATAAAAAGTTACGACCAGCGTGTTTTGCTAGCAAAATGAAATTCAAGTCTTTCGCATACTCGTATAAAAACATCTTTACGAATCGCGTTACACGTGTCACGCCTTGGACTTGATCACGCTTCCATTTTTTAATAGTACGCGAAGCATCGATCTCCACTTTATAAATAGATCTTTTTCCCCCCCGAGTACTTCTCCATTACGTTTAATACGATTAAGAAGAATTTTAGGTACTCTGAACGTTCGAGTTCTTTCAAGTTCTTCTTTGATATCTTCGCTACGGAAAATCTCTCAATTAGTATCAAATATCACAGGAAACGTACTCAAGACTAATACAAGAATAAACTTTCCCGTTATCGTTTCTCGTTACAACACCGATTACCAACATCGTCGTCACCGATCTCTGATTCATTAAATACTTTATCGCGACCAAAATATCGCCACAGTACTCTGATTCAACAAAATCCATCCAACGAAGCTTAATGTCAAGAAAATGACACCACCGGTCACGAAAACGTAAGAAATTGCTTTGTAAGCATGTGGCGTGCGATATCGTAATCGGGCGGAATATCATTCAGGTGCAAATGCGAAACTATTTTTCTTTAAAAGCACAGTTAATTTCTTAAAGTAACAAGAGTAATCAACAATGGTGGTAACAACAAAATTTTCTCCCGACTGTGTGACGTCAAAATGATAATTCCGAGAGAAGCTCATTACGACTCGTGAAACAGCAGCAATTTCCCACTCTTGGAACATTTGGTTGCGATTGGTCGCGACAGAGGTGTGTTCGATCGCGAGCAACTCCGATTGGTTCGCGACGCCGAGCCTCTCCTAACGAGCCTCGTGGCAACTTTAGGTGTCCTAATTATAGCATCGATACCACACGAACGTGAAGATTTTGGTTAAAGTTTCTATTCGAAATAATCTGTATCGATTAATTGACGACAATTTCGTAATTGTTTACTTGCGATTCCAACTACGAGGATTTTCGTAAAATAACGATTAGACGTACCGAATTTCAATTTTCTACCCGGTACCTCTAACCTTTCCTAATAAAATTCTTCATTTTCTTATGTCTTCGTGCATCCAATTGATTTCTGTTTATGCATATCTCGTCTATACAATATTAAAAGTATCGCGTATTTGCATTATTTATTATCTCCTGACATCCCCCGTACGATACGAAGAATATAAATTACTGGCTGCATTCGATACAATGAATATGCATCACAAAGTACAAATGCAGTTCACAAATCGGATGTTAGCACTTTAATTTAAACAAGTAAGGATCGAGTAAGTTACGTTAGCTTACAGCTAGCTTGACATTTATCGACGAAATAATTCCTTTCGTTTTTCGATTATTTTCAGCAATATTCTTAACGGTATGTTTTCATAACAGCAAAGCTTATGAAAAAAACACGAAACTCTATCGATGTACATGCATAAATGTACACGAATAGTTTTGTTACGTTAATCCACGATACTCTAATTATTGTAGCGTGGTAAACAAATAAGCATAATCTGTCGAAATCGCGTATCGTTTGACTGACACAACCTTGGACAAACATAGCGATGTAACATAGTTTCAGGTTAATGTCATCTTCCGCGTACTTTCCTTTCACTTTGAACGACGGTAAGGAATTTCGCTAGCAACAGTTTGCGAAACGATGACAAACATAAAACTGCAACACCTTTCACTCGCATCGCAATCTTCGTCGTCGTTTTAACAAATCCTCCGTTAAAAGTGTTCGCGAAGCGAAACGTCATTCCTTCGATCGCTAATGAAAGCGTGATTACCAGAAATTTCGGAGAATCGATTAGCCGGCGAATACAAAGTTTTCCGCGATTGAGAAATTCACGACGATTAGCTTTCGAACGTTAACGATGTTCGTACGCTACTCGCAGTCGCTAAAAATAAATAGAAGAACCGTCTTTAAAGAAAAATTCTTTATTCTCGTACGTGAAGTTAGGCAGAAACGATCGACGCTTTCGAGTACGGAGAGGTAGCAATGGTCGGTTGTGAACTACAATTGAAAAATTATCTAGCATCGATTCGATGGAGAGAGACCGATCGGAATCGGATTCGTATATTATATAGAAAAATGTTTACCTGTAACCAGTCCATGGCCGATCGGTAACGTATCGTTCGAGTTTAACAGGTCACTTGTTCGAAGAACGTTTCGTATCACTTTCGAGTTCAAACGGAAAGGAATCGAGAAAAAGAAGAGACCAACGATCGGAATTGTTCCGTGTCACGGTCGCGTTTGGAAGCTACTGAGACAACATTCGTGCAAGCGGGACGGAACCGATTTTCAAAACCAGTCGTATATCCCTCTCCTCTCTGCCTACTCCGCGCTACTCGCTCCAGTTTGCTAGGCTCTTCAACGAATCTCATTGGTCGACAGAAGATACCGACCTACACCTCTCACCAATCCTGCATTTCTCTCGACAAAACTCAAGAAAAGGAATTCGTGTAAGGGACCGTTCACCTAGAATTATGTCAGCACTGTTCGTCTACCTGCCTTTCGATTGCGTTATATTTCTCTTCGTCCCTCCCCCCTTTTTTTTATTGTTTTTTTTTTATCCCGAAAGGTATATTTTCACACGCACACAACTTTCTGATTAACCCGCCGTTTACGATACAAGGTAACTAAAATCTAACGATATTTACACCCGAAACCAAGTATGTAAAATATGCGACACGCATCGTATCGACGTATCTCGATTACCTTATCCTTATCCTTCCGCTTGTCTTACGGAGTATTTATCCACTTCTCGATTTCATCGATCTTAAACCGAAGTTTCGCTACACGAGTTTATATTTCAACCGCCACACATTAAGAGGATACGTTTGGTGAGGTCGCTTAGAACGATACGTTTCGAATTTCAATGCGCAACACCTACTGTTTTCTAACGCGGTTCATCGAAGGAATGTTTAATCTAACATTCGCACGCTGCAAGCCGAGGTAGTTTACGCGTCCTTCGTTCGATTTAAAATCACGTAGTCGCGCTCGGAGAAAGCTGTGTCGGAAATTTCACCTGGTAGCGGTAGCAACGAACTTGATATCATTTAAAAATAAGAGAAAATACGGAACAGCTGCGTTCTAAGATGCAGAGATAAAAGATGTTGTAGCTTCCAGAGAATCAAATTGTTTATAAATGTATCGATCGATCGATTGCTCCGAACCCGTTTCTTCGATATTACGAGCTGGTCCCGCCTCGAATGAGAATACAAAACCGGACGTAGCCTGTTAGTGACGGTACTCAGGTCGCGTGCACTAATTTTACAATTAAGAATATTGAGGTAGAGTGCTTGTCGCTTGTAAAGGACGCATTATCTTATTCCTCGGGATCGTAGTTAGCGTAACCGATACTCAGGCTATACGATTAATGGTTACGGAGTTGCAGTTTGAAACGAGATCAAAAGATATGCTTAAAATTAAGAAGCGTGGTATGTCTTAGCGGCAGGAAGTTTTCGATGTAATTCAAACACAATCGAACGATTTTTTTTTTTTTTTTTTTTTATTTTTTTTGGAAACTGCAACCGAATTTAAATTTCGACGAAATAACAGGATACGGATAGAACGAAAAATGCGTTGCGGAGAGGATACAGCAGCGATATTTTTATCGCCAGACTTTCGACATCACTAAAACGTGAACTTTACACAAGATTAGATTTCTTTCGCTTCGTACAAGCTTGGAGTTTCGGATACGCTCGTTACACGAATATGAGAGAACGACGGTTCAAATATAATTGCGATGATCGTATTTAATAAATAAAATGTAAAAGTGATAGAAAACGCTATACTAACCCGCCGCTTATCCTCCGTAATAGACTGCGTGCGAAAAATGAAACGATTAAAGAGCCATGGTAAATAAATCTGATTCGACGATATTCGTAGATATATTTCGAAAATATTTCGTTACCTTATCCGCCACAGGTGGAGCAGTTGGAGTTGCGATCTGTTCTTCAATTTCATTTTTTGTCTAAAGTGAAATTGTTAGTCAGGCATTTGGAGACACAAGTAGATTTCGTTAATTTCTTTATCGTACGATACCTGGTTTATTTCTGTTGCCATGGTAAGGCTGCTTGAAAGAAATCATGAATTACGTATGCTTTCCTCGTTATCGTATCGTGATATTTAATGTCGCTTTAATGGTGAAACAACGGAGCAAAGTCTGGTCCTAAGATGAAGTTACATCTACAGATTTAAAGTTATTTTGTGACGACTGAAGACTGATTAGAAAGGATATCAAAACTACGGTGTTACTTTGCGTCAAGCGAAAGGAACAGAGAGAGAGACGAACAATAATTCATTCTTTCGAAATGAAACGAATTTTTATTTCTCGATTCTGGTATCTTTTTAATTCTCTGACAAAAAGGTAACTACATCGCTTTACGCTAGACAAAATTCAAATCGATTCATGTATACTATATCGCAATTATATGCAGAAATTTCTATTTGCCGTGACGATAATTAAAAAGGTCACCGAGAGGTTATTGGCGAGACAACGAGTTCCCTGATTTCGCATGTATAGAAATTTTATATAAACAATCTCCGTCTCAATCGATATAAAGAAAATAATATCGTTCAGAGAGGTCGTAACCCTCGATAATTAAATGTGTCGTTGCGAACTGAAATAGATAAGATAAATTATTAACGAAGCGATCGTTAATAGCCTCGTTTGCTCTTTTCTCTTTTTCTTTGAGACATTCGATGGAATTCTTAAAAAAGTCTTAGTCTTGCTATGATGGAAAATTAATTGGTAAATATACTACATAAATATTCGAATAATCTCGCTATCAGCCCTGACTCTAACCGCTCTAATAATCGTCTATGTTTACCTCTTCTGACTATTGACTCCATCAGCTGTTTTACGTTAATACCATTATGCGAATCGTGTGTTCTCGATTGCGATAACAGTTCAAATCGACATTCACGCGAAACGTGTAATTTATTTGACGAATCTTACGACCAGAAGAAGCTAACCGACTCGCCGTGTCAATGAAAAGCATTAGACAAGCGAAGAAGCAAAGTACTTACCGTCGATGACGTAGCCGAAGGAAACGTGGGCTCGACTATTCCAAGAGTTCGCCGTTCGATCCTCGTGTCCTTCTTATACCCGATACCTTCTGGGTAAACGAACACCCGGTCGAGAACTCACTGTATTTTCGAGCGCAAGCGCGAAAATTTGCCGGCCCTTACATTACACCTTTCATTGCAATCCTGTATCTACGATTACTTCATCTCGAGGATACCGCGAATCAATTTTCGATGCGCGCAAACGAATGACGATGCAGCTGACGAAACGAACTCGCTTAACCGCTGTTCCCGACATTCATTTACTTCCAGTTGTCAAAAATACAACACATCTCTCCAACCAATTCGCTGCTATTTCACTGAAATGTTATTAAAATCGTTTCTGTACGTTCGATTGATTATTTTCTTTTTAACCGAACGTTTAATAGCACGGACCTTTACACATTGACGTACAACTTTTTTTTTATTCGTCGAAAAGTACTTAACCCCAAATGTTATCCATTCCAAATATTGTGTAATATTCTCTTACATTTACGGCGATTCTAAGGTCATACCCACGCTCATGGTTCTCGAATTTCACAAGATCAAAGTTTTACGTAATACATTTCCTAAAGATATTCCTTTTACTGGAATCGATTCAGACACGAGAGCTCTTGTACGCAATCACGAAATTTTTTTCTACGTTACTACTTGGTATTACGACATTTCGCGAGATGCTTATACATTTTTTGCTTACATCGCGACAGTGCCAAATAATATCATTTGAGAAATAATAAAGTTATCCGCGTAAGGTACGAGGCATACTGGCTTCTAGTTTTAACTCTTTTTGTCGAGCCTGCGCCTCCACAGATTCTTATTTGGGACAACCTTTACCAGTAGATCGATATCGTATGAACTTACACGTACCGACTCCCGCGCATTTTTCGGTCGAAAACAAAACAAAGCTGGAACTGTATACACGCCGCGCCGTGGTGTTCTAACCTCTTTTCAAACGTACAAATAAATAACTGAGATCGCCGGGAAACTCAGCCGAGAATTTAGCTTGACTGTTCCGTTGCTCGGTCTATTTAGATAAAAAAAACCCGGAAAGACACTCGAACGATTACTAAAACGCACTAGCTATCTTATCTAAAGTAGAAACGGATACCGTTCTAACGCGAACACCGGCCGATGGCTTTACGTACGCTCGATGCAACCTATCCTATGCGACGTCATTGCACGATAGATGGCGAGCCCCCAACAATCATTCCATCTCTCTTTCTCTACGTCCATTACTGCACACTTCTCTTTTAATGTTACAAGTTAAACGCTATGAGTGCGCATAATCCATTACCACTACAACTACTCGATTGAACCGCGAGAAATAAAGATTATGATATATATATTTTTTGTCTATCTGATACCGATGCATAGACTAATTATTCTAATATATTCTCTTATTTTCCGTTAGATTCTTTCGTGCATCATTCATTCGAGAGCTTACGCAATTTGATTACGATTCAAACAAAAAAATATGTATCGATCGTTATGAAATATTTTCGTCTATTTTATCTATTATCTTCGCGAAGCAAATGCATGTAAGGAATTCAAAGTCATTTCTTTTAACATGTTGATGTAAAACAATTATTTGCAATTCAAATTGCGTTTCATTACTTTAAACCAGTGGCATTCAACGAATCTGAAGTTTAATAATATTCAACCCTGAACTATAATTTATGAACGCGTACCGTGATAATAAAGTCAAATATATAAATGAAATATACATAGACGCCAAGGGAGAAGCAAAACAACCAACGTTTGAATCAGTTTTGATTAAATTTAAGAAATCGCGTTAGAACGCATCATTTATTGCTGGCGTATCATTGTATCGTAATTAATTCTTGCGAATTAATAGCAGAGAATAATTAATAGCTTGTAAATAAACGACACTTTTTAATCGTTACAGCGAATTAAAGATTTATATAACCTGTAATCTTGATACAGTGCAATAGTAAGGATAATGACGATGCGTTCGTGTCTACTTAATACTTGGATAAATAAAACCACGATAGTAAAGTAACTTTCTTACGAACTAAGTATATTTGCCCAAGAATGTGTACATGCAATACTTTAGCTTTATTCTATCGTAATTTCAATGTACGATTGCGTCAGACAACATTAAACCTCGATGAACAGAAAAACACCGACAGCTGACGTGCCTCATGCACACCCACTGAATCGACCAATCGCGTGCTAGGTTACCAAGTGTTCTCAAATACATACTTGCGTACACATTATCTAACAAGTATCATAGAAAAAAGGGAGTATTTGTAGCAAAACGAATAATATTCAAAATTAAATAAAGAACTAACGTGTATTCCGAAATGAAAAACCATCGTAACGACGATAAATCTGATTAATTTGATCGCGCAAATACGGTATGAGAAGCACTGTTTGGGTCAATAAGACTGTCCTCAACCTTGTATAGAAGTACGCGTGTACTTACGTCGATCTGAGAGTCGAACGAAAGGGAAAATCCACCTGTTGACGATCACGCGAGATGTTAAATTCTCTGATCTAACCTATAATTATTATAATTTAAATAAATGTTTAATCATGAAAATACTTTATACGAATGCTATTATTTACTCGAACAATGTGTATTTCAAATTGTTACTATATGTATAATATCTGCTTCAACGACACATGAATATTCTATTCGAAATGTGGACGTCACTTATTGTCATCATCAGAATTGATTACCGCCTATTTCAGATTTGACGCTGTATTTTTAATGTTCGTATACCGAAAGGCAAACGTCAAGAAAGGTATCTTACGATAAAAGTATAATGTACATACATATGTACGTACACACACACACATGCCGCGATTTTTCTCTAGTTAAAATACAATTTTAATATTACATTCACGTATTTCGAAATGTGTAATCGTACGGCACTGGTACCGTATACAGTCTATTTTGCAAGCGATAAGTATCGTTTAATTATCCGATAGGTACTAAGGGCATATTAATTGAATGCTTAGAATTCTATTAACTAGGGTCAAATGCGTATCTACGTGCAGTAGTTGAGAACACGTCTTGCGTCATTCGAAGAAACTACAGATCATCCGATTAAGAAAACATTACCGAAGACAACGATATTCACTGTAAACTCCGACGAATCGAACAGTGATCCATGATAGGCAAGGTCATAAATTACCACTCGAAGGAAATCCGCCAATGTTTCACTTTTAATTATTCCTACAAATCCTACATTCCATAAATCCAGTGATTGGATAAAACGTTTCTCGCACTCGGTTTTTGTAGACAGCAGTTATATTTGTTAATTCGATCATATTATAAAAATACACATGTACAAACTAGCACTGTTTGTGGTATACTACTTTTCGATATATTTATTGTTGTACTACGTTGCACCGGTACTTGTTGTATATGCGTCATGTGTCTGCAGCTAACTTTGGATATAATATAGTTTCGACAATTTTCTAAAAATAAAGTATTTTCTATTTTCCTGTCATATTTGTTTCTCTCGAATCTCTCGTCGATTCGATGTAATCGTTTCACTTTCCGATTATACAGTTCGTTATCTAGTAATGCTTCAAGTACCGTTTTTAGTACGCCTGTTTTGAAGATTATGTCAAAATTTTGCGATATAACTAATCAAATATTGTATTGTACGTTTACGTCCATTCGCATCTCCTAATAAACAAGTTGCGTTTAGAATAGAGGTTATTAAACGTGTTACGAGGATTGAAAAAACAATTCCGTGAGAAAGCGTGTTTAGATATTTGGATTGAAATCGATCGAGTGACGCAGGAAAACACGATGCACTTACTTTTCGAGCTGAAACGGGTATAGTAGTTTCTCTAGTATAAATTGGGACATCCAGATCACTGACACTGCTACTGATACTGGGTGCTCTGGAATCGGATCGACCACTGAGAGGGACAGAAAGATGCGTTGGCCTGAGTGGATGAGATTCCGTGATGAAACCCTCTCCAAAGTCCTCGTCATCTCGATCCATCTGTTACGGTAACATCAAACACAATAAACTCCTTTCTTCGTTAACGGAATTATACGCTCGGTATCAGAAATTAAAGCGAAATAGAGATTTGATGGTTAGCACAGTGCACCTCTATCCTGGTCGATGCAAATCGTACGTGCTTACATACATAGAAACAATGAAAGTTCAGATATTACATTTTTTATGTGAACTCTGAATGATATGCTCAACGACAACAATAACAATTGTCAATTGCGCGTCGTAGATATTGCATGTAAAATTAGCACGAGAATGTGACAATAGTACGCTTTCCCTATCAATTATTTGGCAGACGATCAAGGCTAGTAACTTGATGACACACTCCCCGCTCTCATCGAAAACTTCATCTTACGATCATTCAAGAAAATTGACAGAAAACAGACTGCCGTTTGTTTCACCTCCATTACGAATATTAACCCGATTATAATGTAGGTAGGTGTGTATCGCGTATCTTATTGCGAAAACAAATCGACGAATGAAATTTTACTTGAAATCGAAGTCAACCGAATTGGATGTTTAATTTTTAATTTGAAATTACAAACTAACTTCCATAAAACAATTCTTACATTAAAATCATACTATGCCATAGTATGTCTGATTGAATTGTCATTCGACAATTTTTCTGGGAAAGCTAAAAGAAAAAATATTCTTCTCATCCAAATTTGTTCCATTTATCGTTAGTATGAAATATCGGTTGACTCGTGCCAATAATACCAACCGCGAATAATCAGGACACGTTCCATTGACGTCAACGAGGGGCCTAAAAGTTACTATAAAAAAGCATGACTTTTTTTGTTAATTACCTCGTGGTCAGGCGAAGTAGAAGCGTTAGAAAGAAGAAAGAGAAGAGTTCGGTAACGGGCGTTATCTTAATAAGGGAATCCGCACCAAGTTGGGCCGGCCGATTGCGAAAGAAGACGTGTCGAACGTATTACCGTTAAGTTCGTATGATGAAAACACGAGATTACAAGAGGAAAGAAAAAAAAATCCAAGATCGAAAAACACCCGTACAGCCGAGGTGTGCTCTTGAGACTGAGCTAGAGGACGCATCTCGTCGCGACGTCGCCGTTGTCGTCGCCGTCGGCAAGACGTAGCCGTCGGCCTCCGGCTGGATTTAATTTTAACGCGTACGTCGTTAGACGAGCCTCCGAGTTTCCTCTAACAACGAACACAAATACGTTAATGCAACCACCCTTCTCCCTCCGTTCGACTTCTTCTCTCTAGTATGTGTCCGTACCAATTGATTCCTGCTAAACTTCGCAATTGATTTCACTTAACCCGACGATGCATCCTACCGGCAACTTATAACGATCGGACTAGTAACGATTGAAATATCATTCAAACGCATTCGAAATTTACTTGTACTTTTTTTTATTTACACTTGCCGAAATCGTTCATGTTCGGAACTACTAATGAGTTAACCTCATACTATCTCAGATGATATGTATATACACACGTATACACTGTATATACACTCGTTAGAAGCTTTTACAATAAATCATCGCTTGTTGTATGGCAAGATACAGGATACCCTATATATTCATTACAATGGCTACAATAGTTGAAATAATATTATAAAGTTTCATAGTTTCCGCAATTACGTTAATACTTGTGGTTTCCTATCATACGGGAACGTTGCTTATCTCTTTATATCCAAGTACATTTCTTCCTATCTTAAATTATAAATTTACAAGTTGCGGAATAGAGATTCTTACTACTAATTGGTAAATCGTTGGAAAAAGTTGGTTATATTGAAAATATACTCGTTAATGTACAAACAATTTGCAGAGAAACTGCTTTACAGTAAAATACATGCATACGTATTTTACTTCAAATATCTGTACTTCGGAATAAAATTGAATTTTTGTTTGAATGTTAAAAAGATTTTTACAATGTTTGCATTTAATTTTGCTGATTTGATAATTTGTTAAAATTGACGAAATTCTTATTCTTATTTTACGTTATGTTATTAGTTTTTAATTAACCAGAATGGATGCCATCAATTACGCCATCTGATTGCAATCTTAGGTATCGTTCACGTAAACATACTTTCTAAAGATTCGTAAATCATACTATCGAAGAATTACGCTACATAAATCATGTTATGCTAAAAATACATAAAAATCCGTTATAAATTTATAAAAATATTTGTTTGAATTGATTCTCTGGACATACATTTTTTACAATAAAGAATGGTGGTACTGACGCATATTTTAGGTTATGCGAAAAAGGTAAATATATCATTAATAAATTCCATCTCGATAAAAGATTAACGATAAGAGAGCAAACAGAATACAGGTGGTTAATGAGAATAAACTTTAATTTAATAGTTACCAAGGAAATTTAAGCGTCGGGGATTGTTGGACAGTTTACGCATTCATGTTAAAGGAGGTTCTGGAGGTTCTGGTCTCCCTCGTTACGGTGGTATGGGTGGTAAAGGAGGAGATGTCTATGTTGTTTCAGACGAGAAATTAACTTTAGAAAAGGTTAAGTCTAAAATAACGGATGTAAAGTTGAAAGCAGAATCAGGAAATCCGAGTACCTATAGAGGTATTATCGGCACACCTGGAAAAGATCTCAATATAAATGTTCCAGTTGGTATTACCGTTTATGATGAAAATCATGCTAAGCTCGGTAATATATGTAACCATATATTAAATATAAATAATATATATAATATCGCGAATAACGGTTGATTGTAATATATTTCTATACACGTATATGTATGAAAATCTAGGCGAGCTAAATTTAAAAGGTGAAAAAGTGTTGGTTGCGAAAGGAGGCATAGGGGGATGCGAAAATACAGGTTACTGTGGACTTAAAGGTGAAAATCGACGTATACTTCTCGATCTTAAATTAATTGCCGATATCGGTCTAGTTGGCTTTCCTAATGCAGGGAAGAGTACATTTTTAAATGCAGTTTCAAAAGCAAAACCAAAAATTGCTGACTATCCGTGTAAGTTTTAGTTGCAATCTACATATATTCTCTGGTAAATAGACGTACGTTTTTTTATTTATACGTTCGTTTTCAGTCACGACCATAAAACCACAAGTCGGTATTATAAAGTTTTCAGATTATAGGGAAATGTCCATCGCCGATTTGCCAGGCATAATCGAAGGTGCACACGCTAATAAAGGAATGGGTTATCAATTTTTAAAACATATAGAAAGAACAAAATTATTATTATTTATTGTAGATATTCAAGGATTCCAACTTTCTGTAAAAGATAAACACAGATCTTGTTTAGAAACTATACTTTTGTTAAACAAAGAGATCGAACTTTATAAGCCGGATTTATTAGAAAGACCTGCGATGATTATAATAAATAAAATGGATACGGAAGGTGCAAGTGAAATTTATGATAAAATAGGACCAAAATTAAATAAATTATCGGAAGTCGTTACAGAATTTGACGAAATTATACAGCCGGAAAAGGTTATACAATTCGACGATATTTTGACGACATCATTGATTTCAAACAATAAGATCGAAATACAGAAAATTAAAGAAAAAATGCGAGATATCATCGATAAATACGAAGAACAAACAGTTTTCCCCGATAATACCAATTCGACTGATGATCAGTTATTTGAAAAGTTGAAGCGGCAATCACAACGATATACACCTGTATTTGTATAAAAATAAATGTGAAATATAAAAATTATTTTATTTATTTACTTGCTTACAGGAACAACAAAGATAAATAAAAATAACTCAAATGTTCTTGTTAAATTGTTCAAATAAGATTTTTCTTTATTTTTACCCATTTGCATTTCAAATTCGCCCTCTCTACTTTTTCTGTCCAATCTTCTCCTAACGGAGCCCTGCTTTGTATGCACAATTTTTCAATTTCATCTGGATCTCTAATAACACCTCTATTTGTAACCCATCTTTCTATTCCATTCCACGCAATCATTACTCCATTATCTGTACACAATTTAGGTGGCGTTCTTACGAAACGATAACCAAATTCTGCGCTTACGATACTTAACGCATTTGCTAAAAAATTATTGCAAGCGACCCCCCCAGATACAACCTGAATAATGACATAGCATCGAGTTAATATATAAGTCTTAACGATTTACCGATTTGTACTACCATTAAACATACCAGGGTCTGTTTGTCTTTGGGAAACAACGACATTTTATCGATAAATTCCATTGCTCGTTGAGTTCTTTGACAAATATGTGTTACAACAGCTAACTGAAATGCTGCACACAAATTATATACATCAGGGATTAGCATATCTGCACCTACATTATGTTTTTTCTCTTCTCGTTCGATATATCTTATACAAGCACTCAACAATCCAGCAAAACTAAAATTGCAATTGTAATACTTTGTCATACTAGATTCGAATAGAAATTGATTGACATTCGATGCTTTACGCGATGCAGTTTCTATTGCTAATCCTCCATTTAATGTACTAAATTCGGGAATATTCCTTAATTTGAGTCTTCGTGCAATCTAAGGATGCAAGTTTGTAATTCAGAATTAAATTATGTAATATGATTAATATGTTTGCTGTCAAGACTGCATATAATATAGCAGATAAACTTACTTTATCAAATATTTCTCCAGGTGTGTTATTTATACTAGTGCCAAGTAAATAAAATTTATCTACATTTTCGACAATTGTAAGTAAACAATGACCTCCAGAAACTAATAAAACAAGATAAGGAAAATCAACCTAGATGTGAAATGAAATATATTATTCTATACATTTTTTTAGCAATAATTTCATGTTAAATGTTGATATCACTTAACGAACTTTTTCACTAGCTCGTACTGTTAAAGCATGAGCTTCCATATGATGTATAGGTATAAACGGTTTCTTTCCAATTTGTGCTAAATATTTTCCAAACCTCATTCCAACATCAAGCGACATAGGAAGACCAGGTTTTACAGTCGTAGCCACTGCATCGATATCTTTTAATTTTATATTTGCAACTCTCAATGCATTTTCACAGATTCTGGTAATATTGGCTGCATGCATTTTTCGTGCAAACGAAGGAATTATTCCTCCATAACTAAAAAACATTAAACAATCATTACAAATTATTTAAAAAATTTAGAAGTAAAATAAATTACTGAGAATTATTAGAATTACTTTAAATGGATACGATGTTGAGAATTAATAGCTTCACCTAGTATAATACCTGTACTATCAACTATTCCACAACCTGTCTCATCACAGCTAGATTCTATGCCCAAAACTATAGCTGGTCTATCGTGGAAAAGATTTCGTAATAAATTCAAGTCATGTTTTTGTGAGTACAATAGTGTGTTACAATACAAGAAATGCTTCGATAAAGATTTGTGAAATAACAATCGCACATTCCACACCATGTCTTTTATTTATATTTTAAACATTTCACATTATTATATGTATACAAAAATATGTTTTTTTGGTATATTTCTTTATATTAGACCATAATAACATTAGTATTCATAGCTGTAAATAATTGCAAAAATTGGTATATAAATAAATATTTCGATAAATTTCACTTTTATATCGTATTACGGATACGCACGTGTAGCATATCTGCATACGTGTTTACATAGATATAATAATTAGATTCAGACTCGAAGTAGCTTCGAGAATTAAATACATAAGATCGATGTATCGAACTAGCTATCGATGTGACCACGCAAAGTTGCTGATAGTTCGTAGCTGCTCGTGGCTGCTCGTGGCTGCTCGTAACTGCTCGTAACTGCTCGTAACTCGTAGCATCATGGACACAGAACACAGAGCTAACACAGAGTGAGCCAACTGCAGCTTTTCACCTGTTTTCATCTCAAGCACGAGTATCGGCAAGTGAACATATAATGTCGGAACAGTAAGAGATTTCTCTTCTTTTATTATGGGAAATGAATGTTTTTCTATAATTCTGATGTTCGATATAGTACGACATATTTATTTTCTATTATAACGCGTTTCTGATTCTTGGTACAATATAAACTTTAATCATCTTAATAAGAATCGAGGTTAGACTTGCCATCGCTTCTGTGAATGATGTACATTGTGTTTCAACAAGCGTCATTCACTGAATTCCTTGTTTCCTTAGCTTATTTATTTCTTGCAATTGTTCGTTGTAACATTTATTCTCTGTAAAATGTTTATAAAATATGTTTGACATGTAAATATCATCTTTATTTGTGTTGTGTATGTGTTTGTGTGTAACTATGTCAATAATGTCCAAAGTAGACATTTTTCTGTATAATGTGGTAATAATTTAATATTGTTTACACAAAGGAACTAATAATAAAAGTATAAAACATATGAATTCGTAAAACCTGAGAATTGTTCGTAAATTGATATTGTATTAAATATTGAGAAGTGATTTTACATGTTGTTGGAATATTAATGTTCAGCCTTTAGCTATTAAAAATGAAATTTTTAATAAAATTACAAAACACCTGTAAATAAAATAAATTGCCATGACTTCTACCATTTGAGCATCTTAATAATTATTTTTCCAGCGATGATACTTTATTGGATGAAGATTTAGGAGACGAAGAATATGATTTGGGCAATGACGAGGAAGAGGCTCTTTTAGCAGATGATTATGAACTGGAGAGGGTGAGCATATTGCTGGACCATTATTTTGTTATTAAATGAGAATTAGCTTATCACTATATGCCATAACATTCGGTATGATATTATTTTATGTTAGAATTTAATAATAAACTCGTCAAAAATTTCAAGACTGAATGAAAAGATAAATATTTAATCCATTTATTGATATAAAATGGTGTATAAGTAATAGATTGTTACCACATTAATTAAAGTGTACATTTCTAGAACATTTAATATTAATCTGACTTTGTTTTAGATCTATTAAAATAACAATGAATTATTTAAATAAATGGATTAAAATTAGTATAATTTATATTCATGTTCTCTATATGTAATATCTTTCAGCGTGCAAGGTGGTAATTCAACAATATCAATTTTATTTGTTTACCCCTGTTTGGTTAATTGTGTGTTGTATAGCTGTAATTGATGAATCTAAAATCATAACTTCATATAGCGAAGAATGATATTGTTATTAAAGATAATTATTATTTCATTTTGTATACACATGATCTTTTTGAATGTGATATTTACTTATTAAAGCGTTCGATTTACAATATTATTAACAATGAAAAAGAATTATATAATGGATAATTAATATCAATTGATAAAGGTATATCAATAATTTTCATAATTTTGCAAGATGACAAAAATCTTTTATCGATTTTGTTAGTTCATGTGTTATGTTTGCTCTAATAGATAATATATGAAATTAAAAATAACTGCGTGATCGTCGGTGAACATTTTTGTGTAGGCAAAAAAGTGTTATGTTGTATAGAAGTTTCGAATTATAACCTATAAAATTTGTTGTGAAAATCAATTTTACCATAGCAAACGAAGTATGAAAGTATAATGCGAAAATAAGATATGAAATATATAGGATAAGAAATACCAATTGATCAAAATTGCTGCAGGGAAAATGAAAGATATGGAATTATAAATTATTTCTTATATTTGTTTTACATTACTTTATTATTTGCTAAATTATATTTCATTTACATAACAGATGTAAACATAGTACTTCTATTAATTATGATTAACATACTACAGATTCATAAGTACATAACACTTATATATGTACTTTTTATTTAAAATTTTGTATGTATACATATTAGGTACCAATCGAGTTTTATATATCAGTGGGTATACAAAATTTTAGTTTTTTTTTTTAGATTATATCACTTATCTACTTAAAATTGTTTGAATAAATGCTTCGTCACATATTTCCTTTTCCCTGCCTTTTGCAAAGGACATTTTAATTATTAGCCATTGTAAGCAGAATCAGTGTTAATTGTAGTTGAAACAATAATATTACAAAATTTTGTTAAAGTGTTACACTATTTCAACAACTTGCAGATAGTGGTATTATTAATTTCTGTGATTTACAATGTATTTGAATATTATAATTGTTTCAAATTGTTCCCCGATATACAAATCTTTAGCGTAAAGAATGTTTTAATCAAAGTTTCTACATACAAAATATATATAAACAGTTTGCAGATTTTTGCAGATTAAGTTTTGAATACGTATTTTTAAACTGTAACCTTAAATTTAAATGAAAATGTTAGTATTCAATCTATAGTATTTATTTTTGTCAATTGTTTAATTAAGGAAAAATCATTTTACAAAGTTTCTAGTAAACTGAAAGTAGAATATATGTCAAATAAAAATATGTGCAAATATGGATTGTTCAAAGCAGTTGATATATATCGTGAATACTTTCATTAAAACATTCATCTATTTAAAAATATGTGAAATTTTTCTGTAATGATAAATTGGTATTGTAAGAAGGATCAATATTGTTTTTGTTTCCAAGAGAATTGTATAAATTTTCTTAGTATTTAAGATCTTGTACACATTTTCACAGAAAACAGCAGTATGGAATATTTCAAGATTTTCTTTGATAGTAGATTCGTGTATATTAAGGAAAAAGTTGTAAATGTGGAAAAGTATAGGTCGTATAAATAGCATACCAATTGAATGCAATATATCGCATTGTTATATATCATACTGCTGTAATTTGAAGTTGTAATACATTGTACAGTATGTTTATAATGATTCTAAATATCCATAAATGTAAGTTATGCTGTCATTGAAGAAAATAGTACTTCATCATCCTAATTAAGTATTCATAATATTACATAGTATATTACAAATGATTAACTGCATATGTATATCTACATTTCATATTCAGTTGCATGAACTACAATCAGATTTATAAACTTTGTTATTAGACTTAGCGAATGGTACTCGAGAAAAGGAAAAAAAAAGAAAAAAAAATAATAATAATACGAAAATTCAGGATTGCGCTATCAAAAGTCATACAATATCATCGTTTTAATCATAAAGAAATCGTCTTTTGTGCATTTATACATATATGTATATATATACATACATATATGTATATATATACATACACTACTTTATCTACCAATCAATATGTTAATTAAGAGTAGATTGTAACGACAACGGCTAAATACCATATTTTCATTACAAATATTTGGCAATTTAATTCCCTGAGCAGCAGAATAGCTATAAGGGAGAAGAGGAAACAGATGATGTACTGGACTTAGGAGTTACCGACGCTCTCGACGACTTAGATGGCGAAGATGAAAATATAGAATTTAGTAGGAGCAAGGCCAATAGAAGTAATGACAATGATTATTACGAAGACGGAGATCATATAGAGGTTCAGTCAAAGTATTACAACCAAGATGAAATTCATGAATACCAAAGCGAACAAGCACGTCAGCACGATGAACGCTCTGCAAGCGATAGTGTTAGTACTTCTAGTAATATCGGGAAAGGAGATTTACGAGAGAAGTTGCAGAAAAATGCAAAAGTCTACGCTGGGACTGGACAAGGATTGGAAGATGACGAATGCGAAGAGGCCAAGGAAAGGAGGAATAGATTCCAAAATGAGAGAACCATAGTTTCTCCAAAAATGAATAACAATATACCAGATACTTTGGAGAATGTAGTAACATCTGAACCATCGAAATTAGTATCCAGAGGCCGAGGAAGAGGTCGAAGCACAAGAGGAAGCCGCGGAGGAAGATTTAATACGCAGAATTCGGGAAATTTTAATCCAAGGTATTTTAACGATTCGCCTTTTAACTTTGCCTTTTTAATTACTGACACAAAAGTCAGTTTCCCCACAGAATTTCTGGTAACATTTATATAACGTTACGTGTTACATGTTAGATTCAGCAATGCGCGCAACTTGAACTTTGATAATCAACCACCAGCATGCAGACCACCGCTACTCGAAGCTAGGCCGCCGTTTCTTCTTGGAGTACCAAACAATGTCCAAAATCAACAGATAATTTATCAACAATCAAATTCTCAAGTACAACCTTATCAACATTATTCTCCGAATGGCTCGCTCCAAGGTCCTACACACTTTGCAGATAACAGACCGCAATTCAATCCTAATCAATTTCAAGGTCAAGCGGGTCCTCGAGTAATCAGATCATGGTTAGATTACGGTCCTCGAATGATTGGACCATGGTTGGCAGGATCGTTACAAGGACCGCCGTACAATCATCCATCGAATCAGCCACCATACGTTCAAAATCAACCAGGTCCTTTTCAAAGTTCAGGCGTGGTCATGCAGGATAACCAAACACGACTAATGCAGAATAATCAAGGTCCCTTGTTACAAGGAAATCTTGGAGGATCACTGGTTGGAAATCTTAATCCATTAGTACCTGGAACTCCGGCACCGTTGTTACAGGGAAACCAGACGTTACCGCTGCAAGCCTTTCCGCGACAACCTTCTTCCCAAGGACCATCCATTAATCATCCTAATGTACAAATAGCCAATCAGTCAATCTCTGAGAATAGACCATCTTTCCAAGAGACTCAGTTCGAAAATCGATCCGTTTACGATTCAAGGTCCGGCTATAACGATCAAGTACCTACCAGCCAATTTAATACTAATACGTTACCGGTACCGCAACAGTCCTCTTCAAATGTACCCAATGTACCTTTACCTCCAGGGCACAAGATTTTGATCAATCCTCACTTTCGAGGTGCCGTTCAATCGACGAACGATGGTAAGTATACATCAAAATTCTCTAATTTTCATGTAATATAGTAATTTGTTATACATTTGTTTTTATGTATTATAAGCAGCAAGACTTGTGTGGGATTCTGCTCAACAGACACCTTTGTCGTCTCAGATTCCTAGTAATCAGTTTCCACAAGTATCTTCTTATCAAAACCAAAGTTCGTATAATCAAACCCAGCAAGGACCACCGCATTACCAACAGAATTATCAACAAAATAAGAGCGATGTATGTATACTGAAATACTTTTAGGGAAACGTATATGTATATATCTCCGTAGAGTATGACTTGTGAACTGTAAATAATGTTGCATAGGACCCTTACGCGTACTTTTCTGACGTGTGGCAAGAAAATAAGCCACAGAAAAGTCAGAGTGAGTCTCCAAGTAAACACTATCCTACGGAAAGTAATTACTCTCGGGAGAGTAATTACGAATGCGGTCCTAAATATAAGTCGGATCAATGGGATCAGAAAGACAGTTACCAGGAGGTGAATTAAATATTAATTACAAAAAATTGTTATACTTTCGAAGAATTATACATTTATTATACAACAATAATGTATATTAGGATCATCGAGGAGTTCACCAGAATCAATATCGCGATAGAGATGTGTCATCCAAAACCAGAAGTGACCATCTCCCGAAAAGTAGAACCCTATCCTCAAATGCATATCGCGAGAGTTACGATCTAAATCATGCACAGAAATCTCCCAGTAACAGACCTGTGAATACTTCGATAAGAGCTAGGTTGCCACAAAAACGAGCCTCTGACTCAATAGACAGACCTCTACGTGACTTGAGTCCGAAGCGAATGAAACCTAGCAATAGAAATCTTCAAGAAGTACGAACAGTGGATAGTTTAAACAGTGCAAATAGCGAAAAGAAGGTATATTCCTTTAAATATTTTGTGTTTTAAATGTTATGCATTTTCTAAATACTATACTTCAGGATGAAGAGAACGATCCAGAAATGCAAGAATACAGAAAAAAAATGGAAGAACAGAAACGGCTCAGGGAAAAAATTTTGCGGGAAAAAGAAAATAGACGAAAAATGGCTGCCATGGAAAAGCAAAATGAAGAAACTAAAAACGATAATAATACGTATACATGTATGTATAATCATATTTTTTTAAAACTTATAACATTTTTCTATGTATACATATATGTATGTAAATGTATTTTTAGCTAGCGAAAATGCACAGGATACAAAGCCCGTGTCCGTATTGATGGGAGTCGTAAAAGATGTTTCCACGAACAAAAGTCATATCGCTATTGGCAGAGGACGTGGTCGCCCTATTAATACACAAGCCACAGAGGTATAACACTAATATTTTTTCAACTATTCGTCATACACGAAATTTGGAATAGGTACAATTTTGTTATAACTTAGCAAAACATTGTATATGGCGAACAATTTTTGTTTCCATATGTTTAGAAAATTATAATTTATACTTGCCATACGAAACAAATAAAATGTGTAAATTGTGCTTATACCTATTAAAATTTGATTTGTTTATATTATATCAAAATGGTATGTATTCACTGTCTGAATACATTGTACATAAATATTGATTTCTTTATAATTTTATATATTTATATGTATATATAAATATCTATTCATCGACATGATGCATCGTTGCATTTGCTGCACATTAATAAGAAATCATTGTTAAATATTTATCGCTACTAGAATGGCAATACGTAAAGTATGAACAGAATATGAATGTATATATTATATATACATCTATTAGACTTTACTGTATATTTTTTACTTATGTTCCAATAAAATATATTTTTTAAATACTTTTTGTTCCTTTTCATTTTCTCCAAACTTTCTATTACTTTGTGTAACGATTATAAATATTTCATTTAACGATATTCTCGAATCAAAATGTTTTATCGTTCGATATTTAGATAGACACGTCAACCAATATTGAAATACTAATATTTTTTAATTGCTCTAACATAATACGGTACAGTTATTTTATAAACTGAAGTATTTCGATTACTTTTGTTGTAGGCTGCAGAGAAACCGACGTGTGTGCGTATTGTCAGAACAATACAAACTGTACAATCCAACGATGCTGTAGATTCTACGAAAGACAGTAACTCTGGACACATCATTGCCCAGACCAGTGAGAATGCAAAAATTTTGAATGCTCAATCTGGAACGCGAAGGATTGTAATTCAAAAGTCGTTGTCAAATACGCAGAAGATTGCCACCAGCATACAGAAAACGGTATCGAATTTGCAAAAAGGTCAGCTGATAGTACAAAATAAAACACAAAATTTGACGCAAAACCTAACTCAGACAGTGGAACAGAATCAGTCGGACGCACTGAAAAAATTGACAGCTGTTGGACAGAAGATCGGTGGTAATTTACAAAGAATCGTTAAACAGAAGCCAGCTGGACGTCTGCAGAAAACTGTGATTAACGTACAAGAATTAACAAATGCTAATACGCAAAAGGTTGTCATCAATACGCAGGGTAATCAAAGAGTTGCCCTTCAAAAAACACAAACTCAACAAAGAAAGTTACCGGAAATAAAGACAAACATCGTGAAAATAGAGAATTTAGCAGCAAGTACGTCCGAGGCACAAATTAGACGTATGTGTCAAGGCATCGGGACACTTGAGGTGACTATTTTTGCATGAAAATGTTTAAGGTCTTATTATGTACTGCAAGTTTGTAATGCTTTCTTTATTTTGATACGGTACTTTTCTTTTCAAACTTGTAGCTTCAGCGTTTTTTAAGTTTTTTTTTTTTTGAAAGAACAATATATCAGTTTATTTTCTACTAATATTTTCGATATTTTTATTTTGAGAATAAAATTATTTGTATCCTCTACAATTATTTCGTTGTATGCCAAATGTTTGATCTAATTTTTTTTAAATATTTTTCTGACAAAATTTATGTAATTGTTATTTTCTTACGATATAGTTTGTCAATCATTTCAAACGCTTATAACAACTTACGTCTTTTATTAACTATAAATTTCTGACTTGAGCATACGTACTTATACGGCATTTACTCGAACTAATGTCGTAAGGTGATATTACGTTTACCCTATACTTCATTATTTTCGCAAGAGACAAGAATGATTACATTTATTTACTAATTGCTGTATAACAATTGCTGCACAATTGATTGTTATGGTTTTACTAAACTTTTGTAATTATTTTGTGATAGTTTTTTTTCTTTAATAAACAACGTACTTCTTAGTTTAATAATTATTTGTTCGTATTATTCGTGTTATAGAGCATACAAATGGGCGAGCGTAGCGCAACGATTGTGTTTAAGACGCAGTCTGCTGCCATGGTGTTTCACAAGAAATACCAGCGTAAAATGCTAGACCTTTCGCTGATAACTGTTCGCCTTATACCGCAATCAAGCGGCGCTAAGACCACTGCTACAATTGTGAAAGTTTCTTAAGTGAAATATTTAGATTATCTATTCTAGTATATTTCAACCAAAAAGAATACATAGTATATTCACATTTATGTTTACAAGTAAAAATACTTGATTTAAGCGAAGCAGCCTGCATATAATTGAACATGCATTTCATATTTTACATACTCTTTATTTAGAATATATAATAATACAAATATTAGGGAAAAAAAATATTTTTGGCTGCAAATGAATTGTATAATATAACTTTACTAATGAAGGTAAAATATCTTAACAATTTAATTTGTACATATATCAAATGTAATGTATATTTCATATAGAAATATACCATAGTAGATCTAATAACATGCTGTGCATTTAAGGGCTACAATTTACCGTGTAGCATACTAAGCTGATGAATTTATAATTTTAAATGCTGATACACAAACGTGTTATTAAATAAAATATAAATCACACTTACAATCGGTAGATGTATCCTATTTTAAATTAAAACCATCAGGATTGAAGGCGATTTGCGCGCGCGCGCGCGTGTGTGTGTGTGTGTGAATGCGTGCGTGCGATATGTGTTATAACGTCCATTTTGATTATTGTATTATACAGGTACATAATGGTACGTAATTTCAAGTAGCTAGAGTAAACGATGAATTTTTGTATTTTTTGTATTTGTTACAATTCTAGAATCACATTCTTCAAAAATATCGTGCTAAACATCGACATTGGAGATACTAAACACACTTTATTTGTCCCAGTATTGACTTCTCGTATCGTAATACATCGGCAATTTGTACATTCGACAATTTTTAACGTTTTTATTTCATTTTTGTCATTGTATTCGTGCTTAAGTAAAGCAATAACTATAAATTAAATGTCATTTTACTTCATTTAACATTAACACACGAACAGAGACAAGTAAAATTTTTATTTAAATAAAAATGTTATATATCGAATAAAAAATAGTAAATTTGTATCTATTATTCGTCGTATAAAAATGATTCAAGTTATCTTTATTCTACAAATAACGAATAAATACATTTATTCGACGAATGGTCTATCATCCGCTTCGATTTAGTCGAAGTTTTTATAGAGCTTTCGAATAAATTCCTCTGTTTCTCTTCCTTTCTTTTTCTATGCCTAAGTACCTAGACGATCACTAAAAGTGAGTGTCTGTAAGTGCCATCTATATTCGATGTATAAAAGATTAATCATTTTTCCTTGCACACCACCACCTTACGTTTGGTATCCATCGGTATCCATCAAGATATCAAAGATATCTCTACCAATCTCTTCGTGAATACGATTAATGTTTAATATATTACTCTGTCCGTTGCACGTTGTGTATTGGAAAATGAATAATATTTTTTACTTGATTTTAAGTGTTACTTTTACTGAAGTTTCAAACAATTGTTTGAGTTTTTAATTTCGATGAAATTTTCATTACTCAAGACACTTGAGTTCGAACTTCGAAATCACTTTACGAAAACCTGCGAAAGTCTCGTGTGGTGTGACGACCTCGTGGACTTCTTATCTACATATTTACGTTATTTACATCTTGTTACATCCTAGATTCGTAACAAGTGTGAATTGGTTCGTGTTATCGTTGATATTTTTTTATCAGTGGACATCAATTAAAAGTTACGACTGAAAAATTCTTGGTGCAATTTTTCATTCATTGTGCAACACTACCAACACTAGTTTCATTCTTGCGTTATCTCCTGTGCAGTTTACATTTTCAGTTCCTCGTACACTTTAGTTACAGAACGATTTTTGGAAGCATATGCTACAAAAGACGACTGTTAGTTAAAATAACGAATATATCGAAGAGAAGCAAGTTAACCATATTTTTGGTGTATTAGACGGGTAAAGAGTTACTACATAATAGAAGTGTGTTTTTGTTCGCGACGTATACGTGGAAAATAATACTCAAAGTTACGTGGTAAGTTGATGAAATTATGGCCACATGGGATGGTTCTTACTCTGGACCTGATGATCAAAATTACTACTTGTACTCTGATCAAAACGCTGCCGGTCCTGCAACAGGAAACTGGACGTTTCTTTCTGACAATTTAAGTAACGATTATTTACAAACTAATCGTGAATTCTATATACAAAACGATTCTGTGTTTGAGCAAAATTGTTCAAATACTTTCTATCGTCCGAATACAAATTTTGTGCCAAATCTGTCATCTACAACTAATAATTATCAAGAACATTCAACAAACGCCATAAATAATTCTCAAATTTCGAATAATTTCGAATATTTGTCAACGGTTGTTAAGCCTGAACAATGTTTCGTACCTTCCGATTGTTGGAGCAATAATTATAATTTCAAAACAACTAAAAGTAAAAGGAATTTTGCGAAAGGAATTAAAGAAACTACGTCTAATCTAACACACCAGTCAAATTTACATGCTACAGCAGAAGAGTTTATACCGAATCACTTTAAACCAGATGATGGGAATGTTCCTTGTTCTATTATTGATGCAAATTCTTATATCAAGGATACAAAACTTGCTCTTAGAACATCAGATAAACATTCCGTTGGTGATATAAATAAGTATGAAAGAAAGTATGATAATAAAAGAAATGGAAATTATAGACCCAAAGAAGGACAAGATCAGTTTTACAAAAGGAATGCATATAAAAATTCTTATCAACAACAAGGTAGGATTTCTCATAAATTTCAAGGTAATAAATATTTTACCAATAAACATTATTCGGACAAATCGCAAATAGGTGTAAAAGACATTGGGGCAAATTTGCCAGGTAGAAGTACGATAAATGGTATTAGCAATAATAAAGAAGCTTTTCCAGAAAATTTAGATGAGGAAGAACCTTCTTCAAGTATGGATATAAATTTACATAGAAATAAAAAACTATTTCACGAGGACATTAATAAAGGAAATGTTGTTACCAAAGGTGACAATGCTCAACCAAATGGAACAAAACAGACTAATAATAGAGCTAAGGAATCTACCTATTATAATTCTGGTCCAATACAATCGCAAAGTCACCATAGGAATACTAGGAAATATCCATACAATATTAAACACAATAGAGAGGAGCATACTTACAAAGATAAGAGACATAATTATCTGGGGCATAACATGATCTGGGAAAACTGTAACAAAGAAGATAAATCTGGAGTAAAGGAAGATGAATACGAGTTTAGACAATCTTCCAATGAGGAAACTAGAAATGGAATAAAGGAAATCAAAGAAAAAGGATATAATTATCAAGGATATACTGGATTTAAGGAATACCCCAAAGGAGAAAAAGCAGAAGTGTTCAGAGAGAAAGATAGGAGTAAGAGTTATACATTTGAAAATAAAGAAAAGGGAAATGAAAATTGGCGAACTAAAAGGGAAATTAATGAAAAGAATGGTATGCAAAGACGAGGACAGAATAAAAAGTCTCCAGTTGGTATGCATATGATTTGAATTAGGTTAATTATATTATCTCTCTACAATAATGATAATATAATTTTATTATTTTACTATTTAGATGACGACGCGAGTCAAAGAGAGAGATTGACGGATCAACTAAATAAGGGACAACTGGAATGCTTAGTGTGTTGTGAATATACGAAACAAAATGATTATATTTGGTCTTGTTCTAACTGCTATCATGTTTTACATTTGAAATGTATTAAAAAATGGGCAAAATCATCCCAAGCAGGTAAATAGAAATATCAATATTTTATATATATATTATAATCAAACAATTGTCTGCATCTTTTTAGAAAATGGCTGGAGGTGTCCAGCGTGTCAAAATGTAAGCCTAACGATACCCGAAGAATATATTTGCTTTTGCGGCAAGACGAAAATACCCGAATGGAATCGTAGAGATGCCGCGCATTCTTGCGGCGAAGTTTGCGGTAGAATATTATCGAAAAATAGTTGTCCTCATAAGTGCACTCTTCTCTGTCACCCAGGCTCTTGTCCACAGTGCATAGCGATGGTAACAAGATGCTGTGGCTGTGGTAAAACATCGCAAACGGTACAGTGCAGCACGCATAAGTTATTGTTGTGCGATTCTATATGTGGGAAAGATTTAAATTGCAGTAGGCACAAATGCGAAAGAAAGTGTCATCACGGAGAATGCGTAAACTGTGATAAGATGATCGAACAAAGTATGATTATATTACAGTATAACGATAAATTTGTATTTAACTCTAACGCAGTTGCGATGAGGATCATACGACTCTTTATAAATTTGATTTCAGAATGTCACTGCGGTAAAAATAAGAGGGAAATAACATGCCAGAAGGATGTGTCTCTCGTGTACTCTTGCGAAACTGTTTGCGGTAAATTATTAGAGTGCGGTAATCATACGTGTACAAAGTTATGTCACGCAGATGCTTGCGAATCTTGTTCTTTAACCCCAGAAAAGATTACAACTTGTTGTTGTGGACAAACGCCGTTAACAGAAAAAAGACAATCGTGTTTAGATCCAATTCCAGTTTGTGATAAAATTTGTTCGAAAAATCTAAAATGTGGTCAGCCTAGTGAGTACTTTGAAGCCTAGATGCAATATATATTTTGTTATGAAATAAACTGAAAATAAAAAAGAAATTAAACATTTGTTGCAGATAATCCTCACACGTGTAAAGCAAAATGTCATCAAGGAGATTGTCCTGTTTGCGATTTGACTACCGATGTGAAATGCCGTTGCGGAAATATGGACAGAGAGTTAGCTTGTAAAGATTTAATATCGAAAGCTGATGATGCTCGATGCGAAAAAAGATGCACAAAAAGAAGATCTTGCGGCAAGCATAAATGTAATCAACTATGCTGCATAGAAGTAGAACACATTTGTCCCTTGGTGTGCTCTAAAACTTTAAGTTGCGGTAGACATAAATGCGAACAAAGTTGTCATAAAGGTATTGTATTATTTTATCAAGTATAGAATTTAGCGTTATATAGGACGTTATATATAATTCATTACATTAATATAGGACGATGTCAACCTTGTTGGCGTAGTAGTTTTGATGAATTATACTGTGAATGCGGTGCTGCTGTGATATATCCTCCGGTTCCCTGTGGTACGAGGCGACCTGCTTGCGACAAACCTTGTTCGCGTCAACATTCTTGTGGACATGAAGTATTGCACAATTGTCACAGCGAACCAACGTGTCCTCCTTGCACTGTACTTACGCAGAGATGGTGTCACGGCAAACACGAACTACGAAAAGCTGTGGCGTGTTACGTTAATGAAATCTCATGTGGTTTGCCATGTAACAAACCTATTTCGTGTGGTCGGCATAAATGCATTACACTTTGTCATCCTGGACCGTGCGAAAAACCAGGACAACAGTGTTCTCAACCGTGCACTACTCCAAGAGAAATGTGTGGGCATATTTGTGCTGCCCCTTGTCACGAGGGTAAATGTCCGGAGACACCTTGCAAAGAAATGGTGAAGGTAACATGTCAGTGTGGACATAGAACTATGTCTCGTGTTTGCGCAGAAAATTCTAAAGAATACCAAAGGATAGCAAGCAGTATCTTAGCTAGTAAAATGGCTGATATGCAACTGGGCCATTCCGTTAACTTGGAAGAAGTTTTTGGTCAAGGAGCAAAGAAACAGAATCAATTGAAAACTCTCGAATGTAATGACGAATGTAAAATAATAGAACGGAATAGAAGATTAGCATTGGGTTTGCAAATTGTCAATCCGGATTTGAGCGGAAAGTTAATGCCTAGATATAGCGACTTTATGAAACAGTGGGCGAAGAAGGATCCACATTTTTGTCAAATGGTTCACGAAAAGTTAACGGAATTAGTTCAGTTAGCAAAGATTTCGAAGCAAAAATCACGTAGCTATTCCTTCGATAGTATGAATAAAGATAAACGTCATTTTGTTCACGAGTCCTGTGAACATTTTGGTTGCGAAAGTCAAGCGTACGATCAGGAGCCTAAAAGAAATGTTGTGGCTACCGCTGTAAAAGATAAGGTAATATTTATTTTTAATAACGACAAATCATATTTTTTTTTTTATATACATTATATTTAAATAATTTCATTACAGTGCTGGTTGCCCAGTTATAGTTTATTAGAAATTGTTCAACGAGAAAATGGTCAGAGAAAAGTTCCAGGTCCAATGCTGAATACTTCGAAATCCGATGGACCCGTAAAGTACGTATCTAAATAATTCGACGATACTTTTCACGAAAAAGCAGGCCTTTTATATTACTACATGTTTAAAAATTGTTAATTTTTTAGAACAATTTTATCACTGCCTACAAAAAAGAACCAAAAAGCAGGAACACAGTCGAAAACAAAGATACCAGAACCGGAAATAGATTACTTCGATTATCAAGGTTAGGATTATTATTTGTATATCATGTACAGTGTAATGTGAATGGTACAGTTAATATCATAATTGGAGAGATCGTGTCGCTAAGTACAAGTAATTGATTAAACGTTTTAATAAGTCTTAATTGTAAAATATGAACGCTTGTGCAATACTGTATGCAAGTTTAAATCATTCTTGAAATACCAATGTATTAAAATTGTGAAATTAGAAAATAACAAACACGAAAAATGGTAATCTTTAGAATTTGTTCATCTTAACCTGATGGTATAATTTATTTATTTAATGCAAACAAATACTTTTTTATTTAATTAACATTTCTCAATTATAGTTCGACTGTAAAAATGAGGTTATTAACGATAATGCACAATATCGTAATCATGACTCTTTATTGCTTAAACACCTTTGTTTTGACATCCATCCATTTCCTACTGCTACTATATGGTATACTGTTGCTTCTATCAAAATTATTTTTTGAAAATAAATATTGTTCACAATGAAATGAAAAAAAAAAAACTTCGTAGAAACTACTACTACTTTTACTTAGGCTATTAACAAAAGATATTGGTTAAAAATGCTATCTAACAGAACTAAGTATATATAAATTTTATTTCATTATATTATAATTTAAAATTTCATTTTTATATTATTTATACTTTAATTGTGACATACTTTTATATTTAGGTATGTAATCATATGTTTTTGGTATATTACATGACCTTTTTTCGGAGTAACTTATAAGATAGTATATTTTTGTAAGTTGTTTCGGATTCTATTATCACATAATAGTTTTATTGAACTTTGCGAGAATAGTACAGGTATTTCTTATAACAATTTAATCTTTGTCAATAAAAATAGTGATTTATTATGCACCATCATCTCGGACAGTATTAACTCAAACGATATCATTTGTTATTGTACATTAAATTTGTATATAAATATTCATTTATATCGATACGTTCATAAGACGAATCCACATGGATCGATCTTTATAAACATTTAATGTAGTTAACATAAATATTTGGCACATTAAACACTGATGACATATCGTTATATACTAAGATCTACGATAGTCTCTAAACAGATAGTCAGTGAGACCTTTCATGCTTGTGTAAGTATAATTAGTCTTTTGTCACAATACTAATTAAATTCAATATAAAAGTCACTTATAATTATATAAATATAAAAGATTGGAAAATTCACATTTAAGTTTACTTTAATAATATAAGAGAATATGAAACAGTTCACTTTGAGAATCACAAAAACCGTGAAGTTAAATAATGTAAAATTATAGGTTTGATGATAGTTGGCTTATGAACCATGATTGTTTACATGTTTCACTATCTTGCAATATTTTCTTAGGATTCATTAATAATAATGACCTTGATACATTGTATGTGTTTTTGACATATTCTATTTAATAAAAGTACATAATATCAAAATACATTGTAAAATAATGTTGCAACTCTTACTTTTTATGAATAATTGTAGGAAGTAGTTAAAACTGTCTTTTTTTTTCTTTTTGGAAGTGCTGGGCACAAATGGCTTAAGGATCTATTTCAATAAAGGATCAATAAAAATGTATTAGAAAAATCTACAAAAGTCTGCAGAAGAAAGAATAGAATAGTATAACTTTTTGCAATAATAAATAATTCACGTTTACCAGTCTCTTGTCTCGTAAGGTAATATATTGTTCAACACTTACATAAGCGTAAAAGGATCTCCTACTCTAGACAAATAAATTGTGTATCACATGTAGAATCACAACACTGTTACAATTTGCATTTGCTGATAAGTTGATTATACATCAGTTATAAAGAATTTCAGTTAAACATTTAATAGTAGGGCACTTCAATCTTGAACTGGTATTATTACTACTAATTATCAATTGGTGCAGTAGATGTAAAGTAAAAACTTCTTAAAAGTGATTTATTTACTACTATAATGTTCCTCTTATGTACAGATTTCAGAGAATTTTTTTTTTTATTAGGAAATAGTAGTTTTTCTTTTCTTTTCTTTAAAGTTTCATACTATTACAATACGAAATAAATTTTATCTTTGAACCTCGAAAAATGACTGAAATAATACTCTTTGAAAAAGTAGTTTTCTAATTTGAAGAAGAAAAATAGTTTTTAATGAAAATATCTTCAGAAGAAGAACATCTTTAGTGTAAAGCGTTTTTAAAAATTTTTTATATGTATATAGTTTTTATACATATATAAGATGCTATTTGGAACACACGTTCTCTTCTTTGGAACAACGTACTCATCTATTGCTATATTCTTTTAAATAACATTTTATTAAATTTGTTATTTTCATTTTATCAATAAAATTACTATATTATGATTCTTTTATCATTTTTGAACGATTGTAAATATAAAGGAAAAAATATTGTTACGTTTCGCGGTACATTCGATTTCTCGGCAGAAAGAAAAACCGTTTGTGCTTCTTGCTTTTTCTTTAAAATATCGTCGGGTAAATGAGATTTCATTATTCCACTTTGAGATGTACAAAAATATGAATAATCGTAAAAGAATACTACTAATATACTCTCGCGAGTTTTTAAATATAAACGCAAGATATAAATATTTAAAAATATTTGCTTTAGCTTTTCATTGATATTTGACTTAAAAATATATTGCTTTTATATGTAAGGATTATTACCTCGTTTCACATGTACATTATAATTAGGGTAACCACCTAGATATTGGTGTCGTGGACTCGCTGATGGTTGTTTAGTAATGTTTGCCATTGCCCAACCCATTATCAGTTCTATACCTCTGCACAGAGTTTGATAAACAAACCAGGGCCATGGTATCGGGTACTGTACGATGGCTGGTTGTGTACCATACTTTACACTCTCAGCTAGAAGTCCTAAAAAAATGAAAACAAAAGTTGTCCTATTCAAATGTTTTACATTAAAAATATTCATCTAAGTAATTGTCCCCGCCACTATTATCGTTTATTCTATATTGTATTCTACATTGAATTACCATATGGTCCAAAAATACGAGCAACATCTGTGATACATAAAATGATTCCTAAAATTGCAGTTGCATACGTGACATTCAATACGTGGCGGATTTGTGATCTTCTAACCGCTGCAGTGTTTGCTTCTAATATATGTAGAGGTGTGTCAGATTTAGTTCTATTTACGTATGCAATGTGATTCAATATTGAATGGAGTGTGAAGTCGCTGCTCTAAAAAAAAAAAAAAATGTTTAAATATACAAATTAATGTATAAAAAGAAATGAATAGAGTAATGAATTAACTAAAAGTACCGTGATTTTTCCATCGGATGCAGTATTTTCGGGAAGCAAATTGGTCTCAACAGTTATATCTTCGGTGTCTTCCTTCTCTTTTTCGTTTTTCCACGATAAATTTTTCTTTCGTATTTTTCCATCGTCATCTTTATCTTTATTCGTTTCCGTCATTAGAGCTGCCTTTTCACTGCAGTCAGGCTGATCCGAATCAGATTCGGATTTCTCTCGTATCTGAATTTTTTCAGAAACTATACTGCGACCATGAGTAGGACTTCTACTCAAAGTTCTAATACTTATATCGCTACTACGTCGACTTAGATCTAACGGCTTAATCTGACAGAGTTCAGAATTACGCCGAAAAGAAACGTCCGAGCTTCTACGTAATTCGGATCTAGGAATAAGACCGCTAATGTCTGAATTACGTCTTGAGCCTGAAAGGGTAATTAAAGAGAAGTAAGCTCTGGAAATCGGACAATGTTTTATTTATACTACATTCGTCTACCTGCAGGGCTTAAATCCACAACTCTAGGTAGCCTGTGATGTTGATTTGTAGGTAACATTCGTCTAGGTGTTCTGTTTCCGAAGTCGCTGTTCCTCTTCAGCTTAGCAGCAAATTGAGAACTTCTATTTTTCTCGTGAGAAAAATCAGAGCATCGTCTCAAGTCCTTAATGCTTCCTACAGGAGTGACATTTTCAGAATGTCTTCTGGACATTCTATCCGGAGATCGCTGTCTAATGATATCAGGCGAGTGTTTTGGACTAAAATCAGAGTTACGCCGGCAGTCTGGCGTAGAACCATTCTCTTCGTTAGTGAATCTGACGCTGCACTCTGAGTTTCTACGAGAACATCTAGATGCATCGCTACTCCGTCTGCTCCCTATGGAACTTCTGCGACTTGGACTTGATACCGTTATTATAGGTAGATTAGCGGCCGACGGTGTAGGTGTAGGAGGTCTAACGTATACTTCCGGTACCGTTGATACAGGAGCTGTACACTCAGTTTGAGACACTGGATTTTTACAAGGGGACTTGGATTCTTTCTGAGACTGTTCTTCGTTTCTGAATGTTTTGGTAAGTCGATCTACGATATTAATAGCAATTTTAGAATTCTGACTTTCATCTTTGGGCTCTTCAATTTTCTTACCTTTAGAATTTTGTTCGGAATCAATTGTAAAAGTTGGAGGTTCCGTTTCTTGTGTATCTTTAATTTTTGAACTAAGCAACGTAGGTACCAAGGCAGCGGTAACCGACGATGCTAAGTTGTTGTAAGGTGCTAACATAGCTAGTTGCATGATACCTAAACAACAATATTAAATGATTTATTTAACGATATCGATGGAAATAATTATTTATAAAAGTTGGAATGAAAATACAAACCTTTCTGATGCGTGTTAGAATTGTCTCTCATTAACATACTACTTGGCACAGTTTGTAATAAATGAATTATTTTATATCCTGCATGTAGGAATGTTGAATATAAAAGAATACTCCAGACGAGGAATACTGTTTGGACCACGTACTTTACCATATAACAATTGTGAGAAGTAAGAGCGATATCACTGGCGATAATGAAAAAAAAGTGGCCTGTTATAATTAAACTTAGACAAGATTCCTTTTGTATTTTTTCTGGTCCAAACTTGAGCTAAAAAAATTATTAAATTATAAATTAAACAATTTCTGCGTAATGTCCACGAGGTTTATATCATTAAAATTACCTGAGTTAAATGAAGAAAAGCCAATTGTATAAGACTAAAGGCAGATGTTATACAGGGAAATCCAATATCCCATACTATAGATCCGATCACTTTGGGCATGATGTCTTTAAGATTATATGGATCTATACAGAGGCAAGTTGCTCTTGACACTCCAAGTATACATAAGAACATATTGATTGTCGACATAAAAGGCCGGTTTGATATAAGAGACCTGAAAAAGAACATCAAGTTTTCATACATTTATCATACTCATTGTGCATGGTGTATTTTCTATATATACCTTAAATGTAGAATAGATAAAAATGTGTAAAATGCAAGTACACAGAAGAGGCACGCAAAACCATATGTATGTAAAAGAAAAATCCATTTCAATTCTTGATTTACTGAAATCAATGATGGAGCAACGACTAATAACTTGTCTAAAACTGAGGACGTCGATGAATTTGAGACACAGTTTTCTCCTGGTATCGATGTTGATGGTGTTACATTCATGCCTATCGATAAAGCAAAAATAATTAAACAACATTAGCTTTTGAAAAGTGAAATGTGCTTAAATTTTGTGTTGCTTGAGAAAAGGAAAATAAAATGAAAAAATTGACACTTATTTATTTTAAATTATGTATATTTTCAAATGGCAATAGAATAATATTATATAAATTATTGAATAAAGTACTGATAGCATAATGAAAAACTGACCATGAAAAACTGTCCAATTAGTCAGCCTATCCATAATCTCTGGATTGATGTCCACAGCACATCACTAATTCTTATCCTGATTGACTGAAAATTATGAAGATAGAAAATCGAATTTTCATCAATCGCGAGCGAGAAAGTTATCGTTATCGCAAGAACGTACTTTGAAATGTGGCACCAGCAACAGGCTTTGCCTATAGTGTTGCCGAAGCGGACTCGCACCGCATCCCTTCTCCAATTCGCGGATACCCTTGGTCTCGTCTCTTTCTCTCACCCTCTTGTTAGAAATATTGATTTTACACAAAGTGGTTTGGAGGGAGAGTTCAGACCATCCTAAGCTTTACGCTTGTCGATTGTTTATCTTTAGAATTTAAATAGAGCACTACTAAAAATATATCAAATTAATCTTGTTTCACTGTTTATTATTACCTTGTTATATACTCGTACGCGTACCACCTTACCATTTAAAATTCTTAACTCTATATTTTTAAAACGTATTTCTTTTTTTAACCCGGAATTTTTTTTTCTTTTTCTTCTTTTGTATACAAGACAAATATTTCTTTGACTGCGTACAAGAACTCTGTACCAATGTCATTCGAAAATCATATCATATAAAAGGTAATTGTGATATGTGATTTCTTTGTAATGAATGATCAGCAATGGTACAAACCAACTCTATATTTAGATTCAAATCAATTACCTTTCCGTCATTTTCTGTGATACTCGTCGCGCACCAATAAACGAACTTTTCTGATTTCAATAAAACGCAAGCTACCCCAATGTTACAACTAAATATGTATATCAAAATAAATAGATCTTAATTTTTGTAAATCTTTAAGGATTTAACACAAATTGGAAAACGATAGTATAAATAAACCATTCTTTATTGAAACGCGATATTTACATTCTATTGTTTGTACATGTAATTTATTTTTAAATCATATGTTTCATAAATCATTGTAATTATACAGCTCTTAATAACTAATCAATGAAGTTGACATGCTCTAACCGCGATTAATTGTAAAAGAATGAATATAGGACTCAACACTTCTGAATATTCCAAAGTGCTTTGTCCTGTTAGCTTCTTACATAGGAGATATTTGAAAACAAATATTAAAAGTAACGATATAAGACTCCACAACGCTCTTAGAATGGCGACTTTGATCATTCCTTCCATGTGCATCCTTATGAAAATAATTGCACAAAAATAAGTGTTCAAACCATCCGCGACAAAAAGTGGTGAAAATACTATCCACCATCCCGCGTTTCCTACGAAATAATTATCGTCTAACTTCAGTGCTAGTAACAATGTAAACATTGTCAATGAAACTAAATTTATACATATCTCAAAGATTGTTAAACCTAGCCAGTGTACTAGCTCGTTTAAAGAAAATATCATTTTAGGAGAAATAATGAATTTGATACAGTTATCGAATTACTATCACTTTTTATGCTTCATATCTTAATTTTCATATTTTAATCTTGATATTTGAGACCACCTATTGAAAATTTTCGAAATACACGGATGTGTACAGCTGAATTACTTCTATTAATTGTTTCATACTCCATGCTATCACGAAGAGGTTCAAAGTCATCTGTAATAAACATGTAATAATATTATCGTGCATGCTTCAATGTAACATCCATATTTAAAAATTATTATCATGTACCAATGATAGATATAGTAGAAGTCTTGATATCTAATTCCATTCCACCATAATGAATTTCTTTTAATTGCAGAGCTAAATTGCAAGCTCTATATACAGCAGCACCAAGACCATGTATAATCACTTCGGAGTTACCACTGCTAAGAAGTTTTTCACATTTCTTTAATTGTGCCTAATGGAAAGAAAAAGGAAAGATTAATGTAAATGAAAAAAATAAACAACATGCAAATATACCTTTTCTATCCAATTGCTATTCTACCAAGTTTTATGTATAACACAAAGTCATAAATACAAATATAATTAGATAAATTAATCTTAAATTAAACTATTTGTAAGCTTACAGATTTCTATAAGCTCATATTGTAAAATCATTGAACAAATCATACGATAAAACTAAGTTTTACTATTCGATACTATTGACAATGACAAAAGACAAGGTTATATCACGTGACAAATATTACCTTAAAATTGGTTTTATTAGTTACAAATATGTCTTTGTTCCGTTTTCCCGGTAAATTGAAGGGTTGCCTCCTTCTTATAGTATAATCGGAGAGCACTAACTTGTTACGTTTCGCCTTAGGTACATTCTTCTCATTCGAAAAATTTTGATTAGACTCGGAGCACTCGTGTACATCGGCCATTCTGACAATTTCTATATACGATTTTCTGTTGATTTTTTACGTATAAAAAGCTGTTTCTATTGGCGGAGATCTGTCTCTAAACATATAGATAGACCAATTGAATTTAACGCTAAACGTTAAATCGTAAACCTAATTATTGAATCGGTTAACAACAACGAAGCATAACCTCGAAAATGAAAAGCATCGATTGATGGGCGTTTTAACGACGATTTAGTGCATTCTACCGGAAACAGGCAAGATTACTTAGCCCCGTTGAAAAATAAAGAATTCGAACGCAATGAAGGAACCCGAAGTGGACCCGAAGAATATTATTAAAAGCAGAGAATTGCTTTATAGGCTTATGATCAGGTACTTATTTCCGTTTCTTAACAAGCATGTTAATTAATCTTCTCTAGTCATCAGGTATAATGGAAACGATTATTTACATACAATTTTGTTTAGATGCAAATTAAAGCATATCAATGACATATAATGAATATTTCAGCCAATTATTTTATGATGGACATCAGACATTGGCAGTGCAACTATCGAATATAATTCAGGCAGAACCTCCGTGTCCTCCGTCTGATCGTTTGCTTCACTTAATGTTGATCGGATTAGTCCATGAACCTGATCGTTCTAAAAAGGATACGGGTAACTTATCTACGTTTCCTTCGACGTTTGATAACACTTTGGGGCCTGGTTTAGACTTAGAATTCGAGACAGAAGCTCAAACTCAAGCTCCAGAGCCGGCGCAATACGAAACTGCCTATGTTACTTCTCACAAGGGAAATTGTAGAGCGGGAGCATTTTCCGCGGATGGTCAGTTAATAGCGACCGGATCGGTGGACGCGTCGATTAAAATTTTGGATGTCGATAGAATGTTGGCAAAGTCTGCTCCGGATGAAATGGCACCCGGAGATCAAACGGGTGGTCATCCGGTTATAAGAACGTTGTACGATCATTTAGAAGAAGTGACGTGTTTGGAGTTTCATCCAAGGGATCCTATCCTTGTATCCGGTAGCAGGGATTTTTCCATTAAGCTATTCGATTTTAGCAAGGCTAGCGTGAAAAAGGCATTTAGGACAATTACAGACGCGGATCAAATACGATGTTTATCGTTTCATCCGACCGGTGATTTTTTAGTCGTCGGAACTAATCATCCAGTCGTAAGACTGTACGATGTTAATACAGCGCAGTGCTTCGTCTGTAGTATACCGAGCCATCAACATACCGCTGGAATAACGAGTATCAAATATTCTCCGGATGCAAAAACTTACGCATCAGCTGGGAAAGACGGGAGTATCAAATTATGGGATGGCGTATCGAATCGTTGTATAAACACTTTCGTAAAAGCGCACGATGGATACGAAGTATGTTCGGTAACGTTCACGAGAAATGGAAAGGTTCGTAATAATGAATAAATGTTTTATACTTGCTACGTAATAAATCCAAACATATTTTTTAATATCAGAATTATGTAAACTTTATAATTGTGAATTTCAGTATTTACTGTCGTCGGGAAAAGATTCTTTAATAAAATTATGGGAATTATCTACTAGCAGATGTTTAATAGCGTATACAGGTGCTGGAACTACAGGTAAAAAGTCAAATTCGAAGTATACTAGGAATACAAATTCCCTACTAAATTAAATTCGTTATATTATACGTTACGTTTAATGTAATTAATTGCTACCTTTCAATAGGGAAACAAGAACACAAAGCGCAAGCTATTTTTAATCATACAGAAGATTATGTAATGTTTCCCGATGAAGCTACAACATCGTTATGTGCTTGGAATTCTCGAAATGCATCTAGGAAACAGTTATTGTCATTGGGACACAATGGTCCCGTAAGACTGATAGTTCATTCACCGACTGCTCCAGCATTCTTGACGTGTAGTGATGATTTCAGAGCAAGATTTTGGTTTAGAAGAATGCCGACTCATTAGATCGGCATTGCGATTTCTAGAGGACAGATATTCGTCTCAAAGTTAATAATTCAATGATTTTATATTACGTGTGGATTTACATAAGATTACCGGACAAACATATATTCTATACGAAAAATTCAAAGGAACAGACATATATAACGATGTGTGAACAACTGTACAAAAAACTGTCGTACAACGTACAACGTTCTTCGATTGTCGCATAGTTAACTACTGTGCCCCGAAGCGACAAAAGTTTACTTTGATAGTTTATGTTAAACTGGCATACGATCTAGTTCTAAATCATTGTACATAACCGCTTCTCCTTATCATTGAAGTAAAAAGAACGACAATGTCGTTTTCTTTTGATACCAATCTACGTTAATGTCAATGTTACTAATACTTGAAACGATGCCTTTGACGAATAGTCGATCGTAATTTTTCCGTAGGAAGGTAGGTAAGGAATATAAAAAGGAAGCTAAGGTGGAGACACATAAAGATCATTTCTTGATATGGTGTTGGTAAAGTCTAAAAAGAACTTGCGATCGAATGTGTTTTGTGTTTCGTTTTTATTTTTTAAGCGCATTTTTTGTTTCAAACAGAAACTCAAAGCCTGAGAAATGTTAGTTTAGCGTAGTAAGAAATCTGATCGTGATAAGGTAGGGATGAGAGAGTCAGGTACGAGGAGGTATATAACTCGAAGAAAAATCGAATGATAGAATTGAAAATGTTTCCGATTCCCTTATGCGTTGCGTCGCTACGTGTCGAATTACACGATTAATCGCGAGGCGGCGCTCTGAACTCCCGCTTTACGTTTGACGATATGTCACGTGACCCACGCTAACCGCCATCTTTGCTTATCGTATAAACAGTGCGACCGGGCTCAGCACAAATTCTTGTCGAGAAGTCGCGGTTTTTCCAGTGTTTTTGAGTGATTCGATAGCAAGGAAATGTCCGAGATAAAGGCGGAGAGCAAGAACGATAACAACATCGAGGATGCGTCGAAGGTAAGCGGACGGAAGCGCGAGAAACATCTTCATCAAGCCGAGTTTTCATGCTGAGGCGGCGTGTGCTCCCCTCGAATACACGGAGACGCTCGGTTCTCTCGAAAATTCGATACGATAACGCGTGTTACGACGAAGGAACGTTACCCGGAGAGTGATTACGCGAGATACGAACTCGCACGATCATAGAAAAAGGCTGCCTTATTTCGCGTGGCTACAGACTCCGTAATTTTTCAAAGCTGCGCCGTTTGTCCTTCATTAGCAAAGATGGTGGATGTTTTTTATTTGTGACTCCCGTAACGAGGAGAGTCGCTAGTCAGTGGCGATAGGACTGTATTAAAAAGTCAGAAAACGGGTTTCGATGCCTGGATTACGTGCCACGCGTTTTCTACGAAAAAGTGATCCTGATGGGAGCATCCTTCGAGAATACGACGCTAGAAATACATATCGACTTGCCAAAATGGCGGGAAACTTAAACAAACTTAGCGCGTACCCCGGGTAGTTCAACGGTCCTTGATAATCTTATCGCGCGGGTAATTATCGTCGCGTTTCGATGTTTTTTCTCTTCTAGTGCGACGTAATCCTTTAAACGATCACGTTTCAATTTCACGTTATCTATGACGCTTCTTCTATGCGAATTACGATCAAGTGACTCCGATGAGTTTTCCGTTGGTGCTAAACGTCGAATGAAATGCAACGATGAAATATTTTCAGGACCATTCCGGGGAAGAGAAACCAACTCCAACGAAAAACAAACGAGGTGGTACGAAAAGACTTTCCACACTCGAAAGGACAGCTCAGGAAGGGGAACAACTTATAAAGGTATGTTTCGTTTTTTAATTCGATTAATTAAGCATATTCAGTTCATTGAACATTCGAAAACGTTCTAAAGTTCAAGATCTCGAGGCTTAGCCCTTTGCCAGGTTGTTTCCCTCCATTTATTCTCCCTGTTGACTCTAGCTGCCTACGTGAGCAGAAGGGTGTCAGGAGTGGGGATACGATGGAAGGGAGTAGGAACGAAGGGGAATCTCTTAAGTCTTTGGAGGGGAGAATTTACTACCAATACGCTTGTGACCGCCAATTACGAATCCATAGCTATCTATACATTCTGGATCGGCTGACATTTTTTTTATTAATATATGAATTAAATTCAACTTACGAATATCCTTTTATACCGATATAAGGAACAAAAAAAGATTATTATCAATTAATTTTCAATTAAACGATGCAAAGTAAATTATTTTATTGACAATTCGATGTCACTTTTAATTGCAGGACTTAAATGCATCCGTTGGAGAAATGGAAGGGAGGAGACGTACGCGTAGTTCAGCACGAGGCCTTAGTTCGTCCACACCTGTGCCATCTCCACCTAAAAAAGAGAAAAGAGAAACATCGACAAAGAGTACCGGTCGTGGACGCGGGCGTCCTAAACGGCAAGAGAAAAACAATGAGAACAATACGGATGAGGAAGCAGCAAACAATAAGAGTGAAAAGCATTCCGAGGAGGAATCTATGAAAATGGATGTGGACGAGAATAAGGAGGAAACGGAAAAGAACGCAGACAGCGACGATAAAAGTACCGCGAAAGCGGAAAGTAAAGAAACCGTCGAAAAGACACTGGAATCTAACTTTAAGGAGGAGAAAGTATCAGAAGAATCGGAAGATTTTGCGGACGAAACTAAGAGTACTAGTGCCAATGAAGAAAAAAAGGAGGAAGATATAAAGGATAGCTCGGATTCGAGTCAAGATGCAACAGACACAACGGCAGAAGCACCGCCCTCATCTTCAACGGAGTCTCAAAACCCGTCAAATACCACTACTACCGAAGAAAACAAGGAATAACCTTCTTTTGCCTGTTTACCAGCTTCATGTAAGCAATATTTTTTTTTGTTTACAATTGTTTCTTTAATTCTTTATCCGGCTTAGTTAGATCTTCGTAGAACGATTTAAATGGAAAGGAGTGAGAAAACTTATATTTTCTACTTTTAAATATAAATTCGTTAAAATCCAACAAGAGTATGTTTAATATCATATGTACTTGCACGGTTCGTTCGTAAACGTCTTTACGTTTACGATCTATATAATATTTGGTTGTTGTCAAAGAGTTTCGAAAGTTTACGATTTATTACACGCATTCTCATTCTTTTCTAACAATGTACAACTATACATACCGTTTAAAATATCTTTTGTAAATTTTGATAAAGTTCGATAATGTCATTGCATCGTTGAGGAACATTTAATCGGGAAAAGCGTTGTTGATGAAACGTAGTTATAGTTTCTTTAGAAAGTAAAAATTTTGTATAAAATATTCATTTTACTGTAGCAGGTACCAGGGGCGGCGCACACATTGGGGTTACAAATCCAGTCCCCTCGTCTATTTTAACAAATTGACACCTTCTTGCCAATCGTTATGCTAATCAGCGCACGCGAGTTTTATCTTACCCTTTTTAATTCGAAGACGATGCACGAAGATGCGTTTATAGTACACGTTCGTTATCGATGGAAATGCATACTTATCGAGTGAATTCGATGGTGCCGAGCGTACCATAAAGTAGTTGATTTAATTCAGTTTTACTCTGATTAAGTAAAATTACTCGTTGCACTGGTTAGTTGACGATAGCAAAGCGAGGTGTAGAGCATACGTTGTTCATGTACAATGATAATATTATTGTAAAATATATTTAATATGGACTTATATAGAGACAAGTTGTTTTCAAATCAGAACTGAGGCCGGAGTCTAATAAAAACAGTCTTTGATTCAGATCTGATATGGAAGTAGCTGAAATTAATTCGTACATAGCAAATTACTGTAATACCTTATCTTATATAAATAATGACTGAATGAAATGGAATATATGAGAATTATGGTGAAACGATTTCTCTTTTTCATGGAATGCAGAAATAAAATTTCTGAAAAACGCGTCGTAGCGTAATATCTATTGTTTCCTTCCTTGCATAATGTTACTAATATACACCGAATTATCATTTTTTTAACTATTTAGTTCTATTCGATACGTTGTAACTAACACTTTAACGAAATGTGTTTCGTTTCTATCTTTCGAACAAAAAATTATTGTAAGATAGACGTGTGTATATGTACTTTTCGCTATAGAATTTCGCGACACGTTAACGTTCTGTGATCTGTAAATCTATCTATTAAGCATCTCTTTTGTTCGTAAATGGTCCAATATTAAATATGTTGATATTATTGTGTATTTGAACGGTTGTAAGTGTACAGATAGATTATATAATTCAATGCACTATGATTAAAGATTTACATTTCTTAAGGAGGAACAGAAATGGAATGATAAATCTGATCGTCGAAGAACTCGAATGTTCAGACGTGTGCAATCGAGAGAAGCAATGTGTTTCGGTTACACTAGTATGACTTTTAGTCTACATAAACGAAAAGCAACTCCGAGATTCAACATTCTTTGAAAATATTTAAAATTTACTTTGTCGAATTGTATGCCCGATAAATTGTTTATTTACTTGGAATGTCTCTGAGATTTTAGCCGAATCATACAAACTTCCGACAATTATTGTATCCTAGAAAGATAGATGGGATTTGCCATTCCATGTATTTTCTTTTTCTTATCGGTAATATGACGAGACGAAGCGTCCGCTTCGATGAGAGATTAAAATCAAATGCGATACGCGTGTACATAGTTAAGGTTAAGCTTCGTGTGTGGCAATTGATCTTATCTCCAACGGTAGCACGAAGGATCGTAACGTGTTGCGTGCAAGCGTGAGCACTGTCTTATATAAGATATACATATATATTGAAGTATAGTCTCAAACGTGTTTTCCCTTATTCAATCAAAAAATGACGTTTTACGACATTTTATTAATTACAGATTTATCCCCTTTCTAGGTAAATGAATGGTAAACATATTTTATCTACACATAAGTAAATAGAAGAGTAGTATGTATGGAAGAAAATAAGCCTATAAGGTTCGATATTAGAATTTTTATGATGTATTTACAATTTCAAGTGTATTCAATTAATTCTTGTAACAGGCTAAAGTGTTTTTCTTAGATTAAGGCGAATGCTTTACTTCTCGTTACAAGTTCGAATATTGAAATTTTGTTTTTCTCTCTTTTTTTTTTTTATTAAAAAAGTCTATATAATCATCGATAAGGATTCGTCCGATCTAAACAACGTACTTGTTTTGTTTTCTTTGTATCGTTCGACGATCTTGTATGTCGTTATGGCTTGCAACAGTTGACTCTACTGAATTTATTTTCTCATTACCATGCGATATACAACATTTAAATATATTTTTGCGTTAAGTATGTACGAGTATTCGATAACTAGAATTTTAACGTAGATCTCGCAGATATCTAGGAATTAAAAAAATATAAAAGATCGCAATTATCGTGGATATATGTGTAAAATTCTAAATCGTTTGATTAACTTGGCGAAATTGAAATAAGTATGAATTAATAGGCATTACTTCGGCGTTACGAAAATGGTAAGTTTTAAATGTACGCGGTTTTTAATACGTAGGTTACGTCTTATTAGTTAAATAATCGCTAAGAGAATACGGAATGGTTGTGGGAAAAACTGGAATGGAAAGCGAATGTTAATACATTTTGTGCGACAAAAATTATATTTTGAACGACTTGAAAAATATTAGCGACAAATGTAAAAGGCAATAGATTTTTATACGGTACACATTGGTTTGCTAAAGTTCATAATGGCATTTCTTTATAACATTTTTACTAGAATTGCAACGTGTCGTTTCTCGTCCCCTTTGAGGTGGGAAGGAAAAGTATATGCGTTATTGATACAACGGAAAAAACGTTATCGCGGTAAGAAATAAAAAGAATTCTCCATAGAGTTGTTATTAATATCTCAAGTTGATCATTTTTATAAACAGTTATTTAACAAGTTATTTGATTCTGCATTAGTATACCATGTATATTAATATCTTGCAGAGGTGAGGAGATTAATTTTTCAGCCTAAGGTGGCGTCATCTAGCGACGAAGCGTCCAAGTTTGCAGAGAAAATAGTTCCCGCTGTTAGTGCCAGATGTCGCCACTAACATTTATGGTCCTCGCCATCTAGTAGTGAAAAGATCGAACTAATTTTAGAAGTTTGTCAGCGCCTCTATCGGGAAAACGCCCAAGTTTGTCGCCTTTTAGTTCTTTCTCGCAACGCTAGATGGCGACACCATCGCCATCGAACAAATGGCGAGAGGGAATTAATCGGGCGAGAAACTTGGACGTTTTCCCGATAGAGGCGCTGACCAAACTCCTAAAATTAGTTCCATCATTTCACCACTAGATGGCGACGACCATAAATGTTAGTGGCGGCATCTAGTACCAACAGCGGGAACCACTCTCACTACAAACTTGGGCGGTTTACCATCGATGGCGCCACTAATGCAAAACATTAAAGGTTCTGATCCAAGCTTCCAAAATTATTTCGTTCTCCATCGTTGCACCATGTACTTTAAGGATTTTCAACTATTTTTAACTACATCAACAAATTGTTTAAACATTCATCTGTTCGTATTCGGGTTTGTAAGATCTGACTGCGAACCTATAATCACTATTTCCAATGACCGCGTTTATTGTTGTTTTGAATATACAAAAAATGTCGAAAGACGGACGCTACTTTACGTTTCGAATGGAAATTTAATCATAATCGTCATCCTCGCTGGGTTTCTCTTGGGGTTAGTAGTAAGTCGGGGCAATAAAAGAGGACCGTTTCCAAACACGGGCACGGGCAGTCAGTCGTTCCCGATAATTAAACGTCAAGTTGCTCGCGGCACAGGAAGAGATGACACGGACAACAGTTTCGATCGATCGAAAGTTTACATCACAGTCACCTTTGTTACTCTTTGCTCGAAATGATCGAATACTCTTGTAGCTCTGAATAATACACATTTGATCCATAGGAAAGACGAGAGAAAGGGAGGGAAAAGTACGTAGTCGCGCGTGTTTTGATTTTCGTCGATGACCTTCGCGTTGATATCGTGATCACGATCGTCCGACGCGACGGCGGGAGGAAGAGTGCGGAGTTCCTGCTATATAGGATTTCAAAATATTTATTTCTTGGTATTATAATTACAATGCTCTTACATTTACGGAGTGCCGATGGTTACGCGTACTAATGCGATCGCATATGTCATTACCGAGTGTTAATTGCATCGCAACGGAATGCCAGCCGCAAAACCGCCGGGAACGCGTGCGAATACAACGCTCGTTGCAGGGGATTCCTTTCACGCTAGATCGATATTCACCGTTCCATTTCCATCTCTCGATAATGTTCGTGGTTTTCCTGATAACGGCTGTCGCCTTTATCCCCTCGAAAAGCGTAATTAGCGTTTCTCTGTCGCGGCGTCGCATCGTTTCATCGTGGCGTTCGGTGACGCATACAAAATACAAAGGTTGCGATATTAGCGATGATATGTTGACGCAACGTATGTCCGTGGAATCAAACATTTTGACTCCTCCGTTCGTTCAGCGAAACGGCTTTCCTTTTCTGTTTTTGTTTCTGGTTTCGTGATTCGTACCGCGACTGGGAAAGCTGCTAATCGAAAGTAAGTCGTCGGTATCGTTTAGCCGTGTATCGTTTGTCCTTCCAAGCCCGAAACACGTCGATCTAGACCGGATCCGGTGCAGGCGCGAGCAACTGCATACTGCTACTCGACTGGGCGATCTGTAAAACCAACCATTTTCTAGTCGAGCTATTTAACGCGTTTTCCCGCTTACCACACCGACCCGCGACGTCGTTCCGTTCGTTCGTTTCTGGCCGTTCGAGCGAAATCTATCGCGAACGCGATACCCGCTTCGTCAGGATAACGGATCGTGCGTAGTCGATGCGATAATATCGTTCAAGTATGGATATTAAACGGGAAGTTGCAGGTTATTTCAGCGTAGCTCGAGGCTGTTGTACTTTTAGGAGTTCTCGGGTTGCGACAACAAAGCGTACAAGCATGTTCGAGAAGCTGGTACGTCTCGTAGACGTCTCGTTTTCCGAATCAAACGATAACAGTCGACTAGGTCGCTCCTATCGCAACCGAGAAGACGTTGCGATAGACGCGGGAAACCTGTCGCGAGTTTTCTCGATTCGATAAAAGAGGATAAGCGGCGAGTATTCGCTACAGAATAACAATTCGATTCCATGCGTCCGAGCTTCGAAGATTAGAATGTGGAAGATTTACCTGCTGCTTCGGCTGCCTGTAAGATTTCCTAGCGTAGACCTTTAAAACTCTGCAGTTGCACGCGACGGACAACGCCACGGCCAGTCCCTGTTCCAACGAGGCGTGCAAAGAAAATGGATAACAGAACAAAGAGATCACGTCGATTACCGAACGTCTTAGACGAAAGTTGTGCGTGTTAGTTTCGTTGATCTTTTAAATAACGTTACGAAATTGTCCGTGGAATAAGCAATATCGAAATCGTTTCGAGTAACAGATTCGCGTGACGATTATCAAGCGCGTTGCGTCTGGATTGACGTCTCTCCTCGTTTCTCGCTTTGTCGCGTAAAAATGTCGTTACCACGCCGACGCAGGATCCTGTTCGTTGTGAAAATTTTACAGTTTTCTCTTGACGAGTACTCCTTGGGGGTTATTGGCGTTCTCGGTCCGGGAACTGGCTCTCTCAACCATGAGTTTCGAGCAAAAGCATCCGCTTCGTTTCGTATGAATAATTCGCTGCCGTTATGGTACAGATATTTCGTACTTGCCAAGAGAGTCTGCCCTCAGGCTCGCGCGTTCCAATTTCCAAGCATCTTGCTCCGACGTTTAAAACTATCGTTTCCGACTATTCGCGCTTCTAATGCAATCTTCACGGACAACCAGTTTCCGAACAGCGAGTATTCGAGTCTTCTCTCTTCGAGAACCCTACCGATCGCGTCGTCTGCTTACGATACTCGATTCGAAGGAACAACGGACGAGTTGTTCCTCGTAAAGACGAAATAAGAACGGGGACGCGATGCTGTAGGAAAAGAATAATCGAGCGAAGGGAATCGAATAATCGATTGGAACAAGTACAAGGAGAAAGGTCCTGCGTCCCGGTCTATCTCGCGAGACGGAAAATCTTTTTTCGTCGAGGATGCTGGAAGCTCTTCTGCGTCGCGGACGAAGCTCCTGAGGTTGCTGTTTACGACTTGTCCCGACTCCGATGTCACGCTGGAAACTTTCGCAGTCGAGTTTTCGCGACGAAAAGGAGTTCTTGCACCAACAGTTTATCGCTCGCTTCAGTTTTCGAAGATTCGATAGGGTTTCGTTGCTGGTACGTAACTATGTATCGCATCCTAGGATCGCGTAGCCGGACCGGAGAGAAAGCTCTCGGACGAGTTACGTTTTCGAATGATATTTTCTGAAAGCTAGTTACACCACGCGAAAGCCATACGTAAAGAAGGGATAGCTTGGCAAACGAGGTTTCGCGAAAAAAAGTGTTATCTCGGAGTTGTGCCAACTTTAAACGAAACTCGAAACACGTTGTTTCCGGTATGTTATTTCATGTAGATTTAACCTGTTAATAATAAAGACGTACGTGTATTCTTTCAAAGTTGAAATTGACTTCGAAACTAACAGCGGAGCGGAAAACTCGTTATCCGTTCGGTATTCTTAATTTCCGACGTTCGTGGTTCGGCTCGCGGAACAAGGCGCGCGACAACAAGTCCGATTTTCCTTTAGATACGATCGACTTTTTCGGTACGTAACCGAATGAAATTTGCCTCGTCGTTAGCTTTCAAAGTGTAGCGTTCGAGCCTGGCACTGACGCAAGGTACAAGATGAAAAACTATTTCTCTTAAGGTTGTTTCTCACCTGCAGGGAATGACCGGTGCAGAACACGGCCCAGAGAAAAGGAACTTTCCATATTCTGGACGCGACTCCGCAGCCAGCCACTACGCCTACTATCATGCTGATTTTCAAAAATAGTATCAATTGCAGGGATCTTCTTCTCTTCATTTTCTCGCGCTGCTTAATCTCCAGCTGCATGCTGCACGTGTACCTGAGCCGATTCGGCGGAAAAAAGAAAGTTTGTTGCACCAGTCGAGAACCATTTATTTTCTCCTGTTTAATTTTGCGGTAGTTGTGCGTTTCACTCGTTAAAATCAATGACGCGCAAATACCTATTATCGACGACATCATACCTGGACACGATCGCAGCTTTGACTAGATAGTAGCCGGCGATTAGAAGCAGCAGGGCGACAGGTAAACCGTAAGCGTAAATTGTTGCCTTCGTACCCAGAAACCTACGGCGAACAAATAACGATATCGTAATACTATTCGAAACTGTTCGAGCTTCCGAACTCTTATCGCGTTTATCAACGACGGCACGATTTACCATAAAAATTCGATGGCCGTGGAACGGATAGACGGATAGACTAGGGTAGTTGTTATCGTATCGACGTTTCGGAGATTCTAATAAAAGATAAGGAAAGATGGAGCGACGCGACGGAAAGGAAAGTTAACTTTTGTCTTGAAATTTCTGGAGCCACGAGGCCAAGGGAAGTGGAACGCGAAAAAAGAGAGAAGAGAATTCGGCTCGGTTGAAAGTATTGGCCGCCATCGGGAAGGATATACGAGACTTTCCGGCTGGAGGATAATCTCGTCCATATTTTCGATAATATCCCATTTTTCAACGATATTACCTTGTTCGTGCAGCCATGCTCTTAGTATATATAGCATACGTTATCCGCTTGTTTAAAAGACTTTTCCGGCCGCATCTACGAACCCAATTCGAAAGGATACCATAAGGAAATCTTCTTTTTCTCGAGGAAACAAGACAAGTTCTCTTAGAGAACAGATCGATCGTTATATTCGCGGCCTAATTTAATGTTACGTAGCCACGATAGTGTCGTGCGTTCCACTCCGCTCTAAACGTACACGAAAATTGCAACACGGATACGAGAGGTCTGCGCTCTTCGTTTTCTCTTAAAAATGAACGAAAAGCTAGAGTTCAATTTCGATTCGGCTTCGAGCGGCCAATTCGATTCCGATATCTCTTTTCGCGTGTTCGCCGTTACCGTTACCGATGCTATATTTTACGCCGAAAAATGCGATTTAATTTCGCGCAAAGTGAAAAATAAACAGAAGGAGAAAAAATGCGTTACCAGCAATTGAAGGGCGTAAGGTCCGCGATGTCCCAAATGTCTTTAGCTTCGCGTATCTGTAGAATCGTGGCGCCTCCGAGGTTGAGGAACGGCGCACCCCAAGCGAAGACGCTGTACTTGAGGTAGGTCGGTGGGTCGTCGCGACGCGGGATCGAGGCAACCGTAGCGTAAAGGTGATGACACATTGCAGCCAGCCAACATACCACTGTCATTCGAAGGTACTGGAGACTCAGTCCCAGAGAGATACACAGTTCCGAGTCCTGCGAGCATGCATGTATACGATATTTTCATTTTCTTTTCATTTTCTATGCCACCTTTAAAACGTAACGAGTAGGCTCGGGTAATCGTCACGATTATAAAGTATAATCGGAGAAGAAAAAGATCTGGCGTTTCGAGGGGACAGTTCTCGGCAAATATCCCGTCGGATACAAGCGATGCGAAGAAGACGTATCCCGAAAGAGAGTCCTTCGAAAGAGTAGATCCTTTTGAAAGGTCGAATGGGAGCGAAGCAGAATAGCGGAAAGCTGCAGTAGCTCGAACCTTTCGGTACGTGACTCGAGACTAAGTCCGGGATTATCCTCGTTGCTGACATCGACTGCGAGTATCGAGGAAATGAATCGGATCCGAATCGATACCGCGAATTCGATGCGGTTCCGATAACATGACCAAGATATTTTCACATCGAGAGAGAGAGAGAGAGGGGGGGGGGCAACCGAGTCAAGACAGTTTCATTTTACCGTAGAAGATTACGCGAAAATATACGAGCATATCGAGAAGGGAAATCGAAAGCAAAAGAATCGTATTTTGACCGTGAAAAGTGTTCGTCTGAAAGTTTCAACGGTTCGATTCCATTATACGGCTCGTAAATTCGCGAAGCGTTATCTCGTTAACATTGCGCGATCTTCGACGTCATTTTTCCCTTTAACCGTATCGCGAAACAGCGACGATTTTCGATACTTGTGTACCACTCGGTCGACGTTTATCCCCGCGTATTTACAACGCAATCAGACCTGTAAATGCGCCAACGAAACGAGAACCGAACGATCGTCGTTTCCCTGTGAAATGGTTAGAATGCGGTTGGTAAGAGGATTTCGAGATGTAAATTGGATCGTCAGGGTTCTCTCGAGGACTCGTAAAAGTGGCGAGTATCTAGGTACATGCATCGAAGGTACTGCTATTTTTCATCGAAACGATCTTCTCGCGATCAATTTTCACCGACTCGAGCGTTAAAGCCGAGACTTTTATCCGCGCGAGCGATACGCATTACTAATTTTACGAGCGGTAAGCTTTTAATGACGAAAGAAACGATAGAGCCGTCAAAGAATCGTTCCTTTCGAGGGTATCGATTTGAAATTCAATGCAATTAAGGGTAACGAGAGGCGGAGAGCATCGATCATACGAATCGTAAATAGTTGCCTTTCGCTCGGTCGATCCAACGATCCGGCCTTCTCATGCAAATTATTACAATTTAAAACGATTCCGTTTTCATCTTCCTGTACGTCTAATTTGACCGTCGCGCTCGCCAAGACTAGGGCGGAGAAATAATTTCGGTTTCCAAGGTTTTTAATTTTCTTTAAGTTCGGCGGGTGTATCGCCTCGAGACATAATCGATGCTCCCACAACGACGTTGCCGCGTATTTCTGGAAACTTCATCTTTCGGAACAAGCTCCGAGTTTTGAGACGAACAACAGCGAAGCTTCCCCTTTCGTCGTTTATCCCCTAACTTTTTGCGCGTGGTATTCAATTTTGCGATATCGGAACGCCCCGTAATCGTTCGTGTTCGCTAATTCACCGACGAACCCGGATCGAGTCGCGATTAAGTCAAGCCGATCGAAGGCTTTGTTCGTTTTAGCAGTTTGGTCACGATGCGCTTGCAGTTTCGACAAATAACGCACGGTTTGTTCGAATCCCGTTAATGCCGTGGATCGTGATTGGGACGTTTAAGTGGATTAGTTCGTTTGGCGAGCATCGAATAAAGTTATGCGACTGTAGCGTGGTAATGACGATAACTCGGTCCGCGTGCTACCTGGAGCGACGAAACACGCGAATATCGAGGTTGAAATCTTTTTCGAAACTTTCATCGACGTTCTGGCCCGCAAGGTTAAATCGTAGAATCGTAAATGGCAGAAATCCCTAGCTTTTAGGTAGATCTAGAGGAACGCTCGCGTGAAAATCGGCATACGAAAAAGTTACATCGTTTACTCCGCTGATTAGCCTGCGAAAACACACGGGAGATGATAACCATTTCGAGAGTTTTTATAGGAAGGGAGATGGCGAAGGCTGGTCCGTGTATTCGCAACAACTTTAAGCAAATATTGTTTGTAAAGCAAGTTTCGCGTCGGTCGGTTCGCTTCGTAAATAATGCATGTTTTCCGACCCAAGTTTTCAGCTCTCCTTAGACGACTCCCACGGATTATATCCCCGTTGCGGGGTCTTCGGTTTTACAAACGATTCGTCCGTGGGCTCCACGCGATCGATGATATTTTACGATGCTTTCTTTCTCGCTTCTCTTCGTTGAAAACCACGTTCAACGACTAACGCGCGATTTGACTCGCAACGAGAGCCAACTCGGTTAAAAACATTTCTTTTACAAAGAACGATCGTCCGGTAACGTGGAATCTGCGTCGCGCGTCGAGTCGTCCGATGATTTACCGCAGTGCGTCGAGGGTAAGTTCGTTTTACAGCTTTTTCGCGAACAATATCGGACAAGTTTGTCACAGAGCGAACTCGGCCGTTGAAAAGGTTATTTTAAACGGTGAGTTTCTTCGTGTTGAGAAGCGTGCTGCATTGCAGGTGCCCGGAGTTCGGCGAGCAGCTTCGTTCTCAATTTTCTTCTCGACGAGAACAACGAGAATTCGATCGACATTGGTCAGAGTTTCCACGGGGATGTTACATTCCTTCGAGATTAGCCCAACGATCCAACATTTTCCTGCAACTTTTCGATTTGTACCAAATTCGATGAAATGACATTTATACGATACGTCGCGCGACCGCGATAGTAACTTTTTTCAATGTTTCGCGGCTGGTGTAGAATTACACGCGCAACGTCGGCGAATCCGTTTCGTTAATTCATGGAAACGACTGCTTGTCGTTCGTCAATTATTTCGCTGGAATCGAGTGTAGTTAATTCCCTTTAATTACAGTCACCCCTCTTCAGATTTCATACGAGCGAGTCACGCGATTCACTTTGCGAGGAATAATTAATGTTTTCCGTTTTCTCTCTTTCCGTTTCAGTGTTCGCGTTTGCGTGCGTCGCTTTATTTACAGTTGTCACCGACTAACAAATTCTACCGTAAAATGTTTCCGTAATTAAATTCTCGTAATCGATTTCCATCGCGGTTCTTCTCTCGAGATAGAGGCAAAATTCGTTACGTTGGTTATTAAATTACGTACTTCCAGCGTCTAAAGACTGCGCGAAGATTCGATCGAGGTAATTCCGATGCTCCTGTTGCTCGTAGAAATAACATCGGGAACGTTCGAGATAAACCTACTTTGATTAATTTTTTGTTCCTTCGAATAGACATGCAACCGTTCGAATCGCAATTCTCGGTAATTTCCGTGTTTGCCTCGGACAAAATTCAGCGGGTTACGTGGTGTCGCGTTAATTTCGAGTCGGATTCGGATCAGCTTTTGGTTGGAAATTTCTTTGTTGGTGGATTCGTTTGCTGCGCGTTCAACTTGGAAAATGAACATTTTTGTGAAACCGCTCGGAGCGAAACGGAAGGTCGCTCCAACGGAAAATAACCCTTTCTCGAGTATCGAACGCACGGTGGAAAATATTTGTCGAGCTGTAGAGGTACGCATTTCGCTCGACCGTTTCGTGTCGGGGCCACGTCCACAAGACGAGATCATTAAATTCCTTAGAGACGCGCTAAGTGCTCTCCGACGTCACGACGTGGCGTGCACATGGTCGTGGAAAGTTTGCTCTACGCGTAGCGAGGCTCGTAAACGGGAGACAGTATTCTTTTCTTTGCCATAAAACAAACCACGCGTCGTAAAACACGTTCGTACGATCGAAATATTTGCGTTTTTTCAAATGTCACGAATCGTTCGATCGCTATTTAATTTCAACTAATCGTAACTTTCAGATGGAACGAAAGCTAGCTCGAATCGCGAACCTTTTCTAAATGGTATCAAGGGATGATATACGGATATTGTGTTTCAACGCTTACCGCGGAAGACACAGGGTAAGTCCGGGAGAATCCTCCGTATTACGAGTAAAACCAAGTTTGTAACCACCAAAGGTTCTGCTCCGTATTTTGAGAGATACGCGAGGGATACGCTCGGAAACCAAGCGTGACGAGCTCGAGGCTCCAACGATCAAGGAAGAATCGTATAGGAAATTCTCTTTCGTCGGTGCGATCGTATGCTAGACGGGATTAAAGTGAAAGCCGAAATGAAATGAGAATCGGTCGGGTAGCCTGGTACGACGATTTCTTTCGAGCTACCACTCGGCCCAGAGTTACGTACCAACGAGTTTTCATCCTGCTCTGTTTTTCTATTGCTTGCTACATCGATGCTTCCAAGTAGGCGAGAGGGATGGTTTTTTTCGCGACAGAAGCTAGGTTCGATACGGACGTTAACGGTGAAGCGTATCGGTAAAACCTCGAGTTTCCCGGGAGAGATAAACGTTATTTGTCGGGGTCTGGTGTATACAGAGCGGAGTAATTAGGAGCGAATGGAGAAAAGGTTCGAGGGAAAACGAAAGAGAACTGTAGACGCGTCGCGTCGGAGAGAAATATACACGCTTCGAAAGGTCTGACGGGTTTCGTGGTGCGTCGACGAGATACTCGGTTCCGCACCCTTTGCGACACACGCGCGCACGCACACACGGCTACCCTAATGACGGTGGGATATATTTTTTCAAGCCAGATAAAGAGAGAAGCGTGCCAGTTGTTTCTGACAGAATCAGCTTGTCCTTTGCGCTGTCGTTTTCACCGCGACTACTGGAAGCCAGCGCGCGACGAATAGAATTCCCTTGGCTTTTGTTGGGCTCCGGCGTCGCGACGATTCCATCTACGCACGCTCGCGAAACTCCGAATCCGCTTGAAATTTTCCCACGTCATCCCCGCGAGAGGACAACTTGCTTTCCGGCGTCTTCTTTTTGCCCTATCTAAAAAAGAGCTTCCAAGCTTTCACGCTTTTTGCGATCGATAAATCTACCCTAATTAACCCGCATTTTCCGCGCGAAACCTTGGAACCGAGTTCTTAAAAACTCAACAGGATAAGGATACTCTCTCGTCTCGAATCCCGATTAATAAATGGTTAACAGGTGCTCGAATCCCGAAGACTCGATCAAAGAGATTTTAAGTAAAACAGAGATGGAACTAAGAATGAAAAATGTATACGGTGTAAAGAATCAAAAATAATAAATAAATCAATCAATTTTTCCGTTTTCCTTCAAATAGGATTTTCGAGTAGGTAAAAGCTATCGAAACTTACCTGAACGCCACCCACTCCAACGATGAAGAGCAGTTGAACCATGAAGAGGGCCGACAAGAGATTCATAAGGGTCGTTCCTGCCAGGCTCCGCAAGTCCGAAAACAGACTGGAACATAACGAGAATTCCGACTTTCGGCCACAGAAAACATCAACCGAGAAAGAAGTAGAAAATTCGCGTTGCAGCGTAACCGTTTTATGCAGATAAAACGACTCCCCCGCGTGTAATTCGTCGAGTGTGAATAATTCATAAATCAAACAAGATAATCGAGCTTGGTCAAGGTGAAACTGTTCCCGTTGCGTTTTCTGTTTGTTTCTCCAGTACGACGCGATCGTGGCAGACGGCCAATACGGTACTTTACGTATTTTACGAAAGACCGGTTTCCCCACATCGGTGGTAAAGCTACGTATACGCGAGGCAAACGAACAAATCGGAACGTCTGGTTCGACCGATCGATGGTTAACGACCAATGTTACTTATTCAAATTTCGACCAAAACGAACGCATCGTCAGCGATATGGAATTCGTTCGAGTTTCGTTCAACGAGCAAGGTTGTCGTGGAACGACATTTCGCACAGGCGGAACTATTTTTTATTCCAATAACGGCAACGCGTTTGTTGGAAGAGTGGATCACACGTTCGTCCGCAAGCAGCGATCCGTACACGTTCTTTATTAAAATTCCTTCGATACGGAAGTCATATCCTGCGTGGAATTCGAATTGGTAGCAGACTTGTCGATATTCCTAGCGACTGCCGTACGTAGCCGGATTTCGCGATCAGACCGTGCTCGAAATAACGTACCGGAAAGAAAACTGCCAGAGGATCGACTTGGCGGGGAAATTTACTATTCGCCAGACAAACTGGATGCTCTCTGCGGCGTTCGGAGAGCACCGTTGCACCTTCACTTTTATTCGCGAGATATACGGAACGTATATCTCGCGTACCGAACTCGACACATCTAGATTTCTTTCTGTGGGGAATACCGAAAAATAAAGTGTACAAAGAAACAAGTACCAACTATGCGTTACGACATGCAACAGCGAGTGATTGCAGGCTTGCGAGTCAATCGATCGTAAAAATCTGCGTGGGCGAGACGAAATGTTTACGAGAACTTTGAAGGTGCCTCGATCGTCGTTGCAAAAAATATCAAAGTTTGAGACAGCGTTTACGCTCGCGGGAACCTTTAAATTTCGTCCCGTTCGAGAGGTTGACCCCCCTAAAAGTCCATCGGCGATTTCTCGTTCGACTCGTGAATAATTCATTCGACCAAAGTTTCCGTGGTAGTTCCGTCACTGAGTAAAGGAACGACCCGCGAGACCCTGGAAAAGGATTATCTCGCAGCTTCTTTTGTTTGTCCTTTCGAGATAAATTCTAAAAAAGGACTGGAACGAAAGTGGTCGAACAAAAAATTTCTCGAGCAATCGCACGGCTATCGATCGTAAGAGAAACGGAGGACGGTATCGGACGAGCCGTCGCTGCCGTTGCTTTCGACTCGTTTACTTGAAATAATTGCAACGAAATTCTTCTTTCTTTGCTCTTGAAAAGTTCAGAGAAATCTCTTCGAGTCGTCCCAATTGAAAAACGAATACTACGTTAATTCCAAGAGTGCGTAAAGACGTGTCGCGGTGATTAAGCTCCCGGTCGACGTTGGTAAGACCTATCGACCACCGTCTTGAGCGTCGATCGAGCAACGCTCCGTCTCTGAATTTCGTTTCTTCTACCACCCAGACTATTCATCTAGACGACAAGCTTTTTAACCGTCCCTCGAGCCTCGAAATGTCGCTGGCGAAAAAGAGCCAGACGAAGATCGATCGATCGTTGAAGATTTATGAATCGCGTCTTCCCGAGGACCTTTGAAACTCGAACCGAAGCGACCAATCGCGATACTTATGGAGTACGCCCCCTTCCAGGGATCCTCGATAGCCACTCTACCGCTTTCACTCTCGATTTATTGTTTCCTGTCCATTGTTGCGCAATTTTTTGTTAATCGAAAGCTGCGTGCGGGCTAAAATCTCGATAAACCGAGACCAAGGACGAAGCGTGTCTCACCGAATCGTTCTCGGAACTTCCATTGCTCGATCCTCTGAAATAAGATTATTTTTTGTAGTCAGGAAATGCAAGCTCGACAAAACGAACCGACGATCGCGGCGTTAAACTAGAAAACTTACTTGGGCTCTTGTGAACCGTGAAAATTGTGAACCGTGAAAATTGTGAATCGCGTGGCAGGAAATGTCGCTTTCAATGGAAGCGCCGCTGCGATAACGATTTAAGTTCGCGCAAGTCGTTTTTCAATAAAGTGCATTTCCCTGCATCCATAAATCTTTTCACGCCGCGACGTTTAATTCGATTTCCACCCAGTTTATAGCTATTCGATGAAGAATTGAAGCCGCTGTTCGCAGGATTTTTTTGGTAGCGTGATCAATATATAATACAACCGTACCTAACGTTTAAGCTTTGCCTAGTAAGATTACTTTTCAGTGGAAGTGAACGTAACCACCGTTGCGAACTGCGTCGCGATCGTTATTCCTCGCGTAAAGGAGTACGCTCGGGAAAAGGCTTGCAGACAAACGATACCGGTGCTCCGATGGGAGAATAAACCAGAGTGGATAAAAGATTTGCGAATCTTTTGTTGCGTATCGTATACAAACGCTCTCAGAGGAAGCTCTCGCCGACAACGGTAGATTCGTTCGCGTTGAAAACTCTTCCGTTGAAATACCGTGTGTTTAAATCTATACGTACGTCGCGCTCTCGAATCCCGCGGATCGACGCGATTTCTCAAGGTTGCGTTATCGTTGCAAAAGTGTCGTCGACCTTTCGAGTACCGCCGTAACAACAAATAATTACGTTACGAGGACTACGCGAAGGACTTCACAAGTTTGAAATGTTGTTGGAGTTTCCAAATGTTACCGCGCTTCGTCTGCGAGTATTTTTCGTTTGTATTTCGCGTTCAGGTTCGTTAGCGAAAATTCTGGAGGGTTCTTTGAAATTTCATCCCATTGAAACGGCGACCAGAAAGAATGGAAGGGCTGTTTGCGATACGTATAAGCTTGGAGCGCGCAACGTTATTGTCGCGTTTCAAAAGGGTATTAATTTCGCTGTCTCGTTAACACCGCTTCCGGAGCGATAAGCAAACTCTTTGGCGAAACGATAGTCGCTCGAGGCCGTGGGCACCGGAGTTGAAAAGAAAATGTACGACGAAGAAAAACTGGCATTTTTCGCGAAAGAATATATCCGTGAAAAGCCGACTGCAATTACGATTTCTTGAAAATCTGGGCCACGACGCCGACGCGACCGTTCTTTATCAAGACGGAAGAGTCGTCGTTCGTTCGGACAATCCAGTCGCGTTCGATGCTGTTCTACCTTTCAGTTCGCATCCATACATTCATCGAGGATACCTTTCACGGTGATTAACACCAACAAAAAGAATTCGACGAGTGGGAAACTAATTAATTTGTTCAATTAAGGCTTCCATCGGTTGTGTTGCTTTCGTTAAAGGACAATTGAAACCAATTGCGACACAACGTTTACGGGACAGAAATAATATCGGAGCGATAGAGGAATACCACGAACTTATTGTTAGCGCGCGGTCTCGATAGCGATTGTTAATAAAATCGATCTACGTAGAAGCGAAGAAACGAGAACGATAGCGGCATTCCTCCAAGATCGCGGTTTTCTCTTATATTTTTCTGCGTTCGATTCCTTCTTCGGCGGATATTGCAAGTCCACGGTTGGATAGCCATCGAGGTTGAAAATGTTCGACGTACGTCGAAACGGACAGCTTTTCGAGCAAGGCACAGCTTACTCCCGGCCCATAAAAACCCACACCGATCGAAAACTCGTCGAGTTATTCTTTATCGCGGTATTAAATTCGTCGAAAATCCGATTCCTATCGGCACCGAAAACATTCCCGTATTTCCTTCGGACGTATCGAGTATGAAATTCCGAACGATATCATCGAAATCCTCTATATTTTATACGATCAAACATTTTTTCCCGGATAAACAGTTCTCTTTCGCTCGGTAACTTTGTTGATGTAGGAGTCTAAACGAAAAATAAATCTCTTCTTTAAGTTGTCCGCCGCGCGCGCGGTCTTCAAATTTCGATTTAAAATTCGCGTCATTTTTTGCGATTGCGAGTCAAATTCCAAGTTGCCCTATTTTTAAGAAAAGTATCGTTGCGTAGCTAACGAATAACAGGTGGTTATCCTTCAGGAAGAGAAATTAACGAGTTATCCTAACAGCGTTCCAACGTCGAACAACTCCGTCGTACTCGATCGGCCGTGCTAATCGGTGAAACGTTTGCCAGATAGCCTCCCGGACGCCGACGGCGACGCGAGTACAAACGGAACTGCGTGTCTCGAACTTAAAAGCTTCTCGGAAAGTTGAAGCACGTTGGTTGCTTGGTCTGTGCACGAACGCAGTTGCAATTCCTTACAGCCAGGAACGACGGTAGATCGCACCAGCTAGACGATCGAGATCGAGCTACATCATTCTCGGGCAATATTGCGAGGCTCGTTGCGCTAACGACCCTTTCGTTCCACGAAATTGCCAATAATCGGACGGTCTCACTGGGAGAGTCAGTTTCCTTCGTCGATGAAAGAAAACCATCCTTTGGATCATCGATGATTCAAGATTTCGGAAATAGCTAGCTCTTCCAGATATTCACCGTTTGCTATACGTCCGAATAGAACTCGGAATTACATTTGCACATTTGTTGGAATACTGCGGATGACAGACAACGACGAGGAAATTGCGAGCATTTATTTGTATCGCAGGATAAGAGCCAGTCGCGAATGACCCATATTGTTCCGATTCGCGTAACAATCGAGGAACGTTTTACGAATGGAATTCATTTTTTCGTGGATTTTTTTTTCGCGGTATCCGAACTTCGAAACGGATAATTCGGCGATAATGCCGAAAGGTAATTTGTTTAGGGATCGTCGAACCGTCGCGTCGGCGTCGCGCGAACGACGAAAGTCTGCGATAGAGGAAGGATCTACGATTAATTAGGTCAGGAACCAGTCGGCTTAACAATTCACCCGAATGGGGCCAGATATCGAGTGCTTTCGAGAGAGCATACCAGTAAAATCTTAGGGGAAGTTCCGATCGAT